CAAGGTTAGCTTTGAATGTATAAACTTTGTTCTTACTAAACATCGAGTTCTTTTAGGAAGAGTCAGAAAACTCTTTGGGATACGTTCTTTTTTACCTCCCGTATCTCCTAGGATAAAGTATACAGAACACTTAAACTGAGCTCCGGGCAAACATCCCTTGTTTGATTAACAAAAACCAAGAAAGCAGTGGGCTTCTTTGGCATTTCCGCTTGTGCTTTGTCTCTGTGTCACTGCCACTAAGGCTTTGTGTGCTGAAGCTCAGAGAGCTGATAGGAACAACAGATGGCTTCTAGTCTATGATGCCCGAGTGGCAGTCTGTGGATTGGCTGGAGAGAATCTCCTGGTGCTTTGAAGAGACTACTAAAAAGTACAAGTTATGGATCCTAGTCTGGACCCATGGAAGAGTAGCTCCTGGAAATCTGCATGTTTAGCAAGTACTATGGCCCCAGGCAATCACAGCCAGGATGCACACACATTCTCTAGGCCAGCCTTCTCTTTTTCCAGTTGAGCACAGGAAAGCCCCCCAAAGTGGAAATGACTTGCCAAGTTCATATTGTAAATGCCCAGGACAGGACTTAACCCTTTTGAGGGGCTACCTGAGCAATAGCTTCATCCTGGGCCTGTGGAAATGTTATGGAAAGTAAACGTGTAGAGAAAGGACAGACCGTGTTAACAAGATCACATTGAGAGAGTCACTCTGCATGGGATCCCGGGTGACGTTGATATTCCTAAGCTTTTCTGTCATTTAAAATTTGTCTTCAATGTGCAGCATAAGAAAAAACTTATTAAAAGTGGGGAAAAAATAAGATTTTCTAAAGCCAGTGTTCCCAGCCTTTTTTTTTTTTTTTGGTGCCTAAATTATAAATCCCTTTCTCCGTTGTTTCTGAGTAACATATAATGTCAGAACTCAGAATATAAACTTAGTAACTCCCTGAGGGATTTAAAAAAATAGTTTCAATGTTTTTCATGGCATATAACGGTTAAAGCTAAGAAGAAATACCTCTGGCTGATAAATTATGAAATATTCTATTATAAAAATCTTTAAAGTGCATTTTTTTTCCTCCTCAGGCCCTTTTAAGCTCATTTAAAAGCATTTTTTAACAGCTTTAGTGAGACACAATTCACACGCCATATAATTCACCCATTTAAAGTGCAGAATTCAATGGTTTTTGGTATATCATTAATTTTTAAATATTGAGGTAAAATATATATAGCATAAAGTTTACCATCTTAGGGGGCTCAGCTCTGAGTCATAGTGGTTAAATTTGGCACACTCTGCTTCAGCAGTCCAGGTTTACAGGTTTGGATCCCAGGCGTGGACCTACACATCTTTAGACAGCTATGCTGTGGCAGGCACCCACACACAAAATAGAGGAAGATTGGCACAGATGTTAGCTCAGGGAAAATCTTCCTCAGCCAAAAAAAAAAAAAAATTACCATTTTAACCATTTTCAGGTGTACAGTTTGGCTGCTTTGATTACATTCACAATGCTGTACAACTACCACCAAGTACAATTCTTTACTTATATGCATATATACAGACTTTTTTCCACTCAAAATGATGTTTGTTAAGTTATTTTTGTTCATGTTAAAACATTGCTGAATTTTAAAATAACCCATGTTTTGGTTTGGAAATAAATAGAGAATAAAATATAGATGGACAAATGCAGCATAAACACAGGCTCTGATGTAGTGAATGCCTGTACTCGGTGCTTTAAGAAATTACTAGTTTGGTTTTTCACAAATGTTATAAATTTTATTTTTGTAACTGGAATTTTGCTTCTAAATTAGATGAGAAGGTTTCAGATTGTTATGTGCAAGCAACTTTCTGAGAACTGACACATTACGTATGGAGAATTTTTATCCCAGTAAGTGCAAAAAATAATTGAATATCATCTTCACTCCACGGTCTCTTTAAAATGTAGGTCTTCCCAGTTCCAGAGACATCTTGATGCACTAGATAAGAATAGGTCAATGCAAGTAATACTGATAAGTAAAATGTAAGTAAATGCAACTTATATATTAGGCGAAGAGCAATCTTTGGGTGACTTTGCAGAAATATCACCTATTCTGTGTTCCTTCTTAACTTGTACTTTAACTTCAGCATTCCTGGTGCTGCAGTCTTTGGCAATTATTTTTGGGTGTAAATTCACCAGTGTATGGTTAAGAATAAACACAAAACTACCTTAGTGGCTGGCAGTACTCTGCCGAATGGTAAACCAACTACGTGCATCTGGCGAGAATTCACACATGTTCACGCGATAAAGCATCGCAGGCTCTTGACCAGATCCCATGTTGATATTTTTGAAAATGAAAACTTGAAGCAGGCACTGTTATTGCCTTTGATGATATGAATTCCCAGCACCTCTTCTCAGTCACCTGGAGGTTTGCAAACCGCCTGCGGGGAGCACTGATCTGTGCTTGCTGGCTGGGTTCTTCCCTGTCCTCTCCATCTAGCCCCCGTGCTGGGATGGCGCAGCAACAGGCTGCTGGAACTCAGCCTGGTTTGCCCTGGACCACCCATCCACCCTTGCCTAGGAGTGAACTGGAGTTTCCATATCACCCCTGATCAGAAGGCAGTGTACTTAGGCTGGGCCTGGCGTACTTCAGGCACAGCTCCTCCATAATTCCCCTGCAGTTAGACGGGACTAGCCTGATCCCCACAATCCACCCTTTCTCCTCCCCACCTTCTCCCCACTTCAGCTTCTTTTACGGGGAGAGAGCTGCACGACTTTACCTGGAGGGTACTGAACTGTATGTAGGAGAGTATGTCTTGGAATAAGTATATTTCTCTTGTGGTGTGTATCTGTGCGTGTGGAGGGTGACGAGGGGTTAATACCATGAAGCCCAAATCTAAAACTCAGTGTAGCATAATTGTTAAGAGTGGGCTCTGGCGGAGCGGCCTGGTGGCGCCGCGGTTAAGTGCGCAGGTTCTGCTTTGGCGGCCTGGGGCCTGCTGGTTCGGATCCCGGTGCGCACATGGCACCGCTCATCAAGCCATGCTGTGTCAGGCGTCCCACGTATGAAGTAGAGGAAGATGGGCACGGATGTTAGCTCAGGGCTAGTCTTCCTCAGCAAAAAGAGGAGGATTGGCAGATGTTAGCTCAGGGCTGATCTTCCTCAAAAAAAAAAAAGAAAAGAAAAAAAAAGAGTGGGCTCTGGAACCAGATTGTTTGGGTTTGAATCCTGACTCTGCCACTTACTGGCTGTGTGATCTTAATCTCTCTGGGTCTCATATCCTCATTTACAAATAGTACCTACTTCAAAAGATAGTTGAGTGAGTTAGGATAAACAAAGTGCTTGGTCCAGGGCTGGGCACATGGTAATTGCTATATGTACATTATTATTACTACTTTAGTAATATCACCATTACTACTAATGTACCTTTTCAGGACTAGTGGGGAAGAGATTCAGGAACAATCTATGAGCAATGAAATATGAATTGAACCATTTTCTCACGCATGGAAATGTACTTGTTGGCAAACAAAATATCAAGACATCTATAATCTTTTTTATTCTCTGAAATGTCCCTTTTTGAGCTTAATTTCATATAACTCACTTGTTACCAAGTATACAATTTGGGGGATGTGACAAAAATGCCAGAATTCGGTTGACACACAGTCGCTCTACAGCAGGGCCTCCTGAGCCGGCTTCGCAGTACGGTGACAGACGCGGTGAGCTTCGGGAAAGCCTGTGCGTCTTTTCAGAGCAGACCCCTGCGCCCTCACTGGGAAAGGCACGCCACTCGGACGGAGCCCCTCCTGGTATCCTTGAGGGTTTCTGTCGTGGCGCTGTGTTCAACAGAAGCCCAGGCTGATTAATTACAGGTTGCTGGTGGTCAGGTGACCTTGTTCTCACCTGTGTAACCTGTTGGTAGGAATATTTTAATTCAGATTATCCCCAGAATGCATAATCCTGGAAGCTGATGAGGTTTTCAGGGTACTGGTTGAGACTGATGAGCAGAGAAATGAAGGCAAATTGGTGTGAGCCATTAATCTCACGTCCTGCTCAGCCTCTTTCTTCTTTGCTCACTCTCTCCCCTGATCTACTCAATTTTCCTCACCCTTCTTAATGACTGTGCTTATGGCCTCCTCTGAATATTGCTCATGCTCTTGTCCAGGTATATTCCAGATCCACCTCATGAGATCCTGCTTTGCATAAACCCTTCTTTAGAACAATAATGTACATGTGAAAAAGGTTAATCTGCTTTGATGCATTTTCTCTCTCTGGCATATCACTACATTTCCCTCAGGTTTCCTAAAGATAGGTTGTTCATTTCAACAACAAACATATAGTGAAATGAATTAAAAGGTAATTAATTCTCTGTGATCTGACTCCCATCCTCCCCTAATCTCTGCATAGTAGCGGTTCTCAAGTTTCAGTGTGGGGGCGAATCATCTGGCCAGCTGGGATGAAGTGTGGATTTCTGAAAAGATTCTGATTCAATCAGTCAGTCATGGGTCTCAGGAATTGGTAACAAGCATCCCCAGGCCCTTTTCATACATACGATGGTGAACCACACTTTGAGAAGCATTGCTCCATTGTACCGTCCAATAGATACATGGCATGAGCCATGTATGTAATTTTAAATTTTCTAGTAACCACATTAAAAAAGAAACTGGTGAAATGTTAATAATATATTTTATTTAACCTAGTATATATAAAATTTCATTTCAACATATAGTCAACATAAAATTATTAGTTAGATAATTTACATTCTTTTTTTGGTACCAAGTCTTCAAAATCTGGTGTGTATTTTATACTTGGAGCTTGTCCTGAATTCAAATTAGCCACATTTCAAGTACTCAATAGCCACATGCAGCTAGGGGCTATTTGTTTTGTGCTGGTCTGAGCCTATTGACAGTGATGTCTGGCTAGAAATGGGGGCACTCACCTGGGCCTGAGGCGAGCCCCACAGACATCTCCCCTTTCGGAGCGATGCTGTGGCAGGACTGACCCTTGTGGTTCTTCTGATGGCAAGATGCACGTCAGCAACAACGTCAGGGAATGAAAAAACAAGGTTTATTACTCACAGGTTCTGGAGGGTACACAGCACACCCAGAGCCACACAGCAAGGTCAATATGAGTTTGATATTAATTTATGAGCTGATTTAATTTCAATTCAGAAATGACTTCCAACCCAACAGATAATTTGGTGTTTTAGAAAAAGACATTGTAAGCATCTCCCACATCCTAGGAGGTGGTGAAACCAGCCCAGCCAGGATAAAGTGAAGACCAATTCTATCTCCACCACGTGGCTCTGGACCATCGGGCAAGACGGGCTTCCCAGTCTTCACGTCAAAAGGCTTTGCTCCAGACTAAAGACCTGTGGGGCGCATGTCAGGAAGCCAAGGGTAACAGCATTCTGGTTTATCACTGCAGGCTTTTATCCCACCCTCCCAGGCCTGAGCTGTTTTAAACTGCTACAGAATGCCCCAAACATCCTCTCCCCTCTCTTGATAGTCCTCTTTTCTTCTTTCTTTCACTACTCTCTTCTCTGAGGGAGAAGCAAAATTCAGTAGGAAACAATGGAAGGGTTGGGGAGAAAACGGAAAGATGAAAAAGAGCAAAGCTTGCCCTCCTACACCCAGGCCTTATGTCCTGCTTTCACTAGGCAAAATTCAGAAAGACAGTGGCGTCCCCTGTCCTCAGAGTCAGTGGTTCCTTCCTCCGTGGTGAATCGAGGCAGAAGTGCTTCCCATCTGGGCGGGAAGGACTGAGGACTAGTGGCAAGTCTACACTTTGGGCTGAGGTGCTGCTCAGCAGACGCTAGGATATCCGGCCCCTCTGGTTTCAGAGATGGCCTCTGGTGGGTGCAACTGGCCTCAGGAACATATTCAACATGTGCAGTGGGTCTTTTCCGTTGGACCCTGGGCCACAAGAACTGGACTGGAATCCAGGGGGAGGTTGTTCAGGGCGGTCTCCCCATACAACTGCAGGCTGTTGCGGGCTATCAGCTCTCTGGCCATCAGCACGAAGACTTCGTCTATGTTCCTGGACTCCTTGGCAGATGTCTCCAGAACAGCAAGGAGGCCGTATTTCTCAGCCAGTGTGCAGGCATCCTCGAACAGAACATGCCGGTTTTCCCACAGGTCACACTTGTTCCCTGGGAGTGAGAGAGAAGCAAATATTCCACCGAATAACTTAATCTGGTTTTTAAGAAGAACACTTTCGTTTAGCAAATATGCACACATGCATTCATTCACAGTTAGCAACTGAGGGCAAATTTACTGAAATGAAACCACGGATGTATGGAAACAAAGCCACTATCTTAAGTCACTGTTCTGTGAGATCTGTAAGAGCGATGAGAATGGGCCAAAGGTGTGTGTTTTATTGGCTGGGACAGGTGGAGCCTCTGAATTCTCGGGAGGGACTGTCATTCCCTCTAAGTCTAACAAGGTAAAGACTGTGCCAGGCTGACTCTCAATCTTCTCTCTTCTTCCTTCGAATTTTGCTCCTCTTTTCACTCTTTTCCCCCAAACTATAAAGTGTTGGACACCGTGAGACAGGGCTTGGTCTAGCTGAGGACACCGTGATCAAGATTTCTTGGACTGAAGCTGTGGAATGAACAATGATGGACTTTTTTTTAGCTATAATTTTACATACAATAAAATGGACCGGCTCTCAGCGTACAGGTCAATGAGTTTTGACAAATGTATTTGCCCTTTAACCACCGTCCCTCTGAAGATATAGAACATTTTCAATGGCCCCAAAAAGTTCCGTGAGGGGTTTTGCAAGCACGGCCCAGGGTTGACCGTAGGAGGAAAAGCACGGCCTCGCCTCTGCTTCTCCACTTCAGGCCCCGCGGTCATCCAGGACTGGACTTTGATTTCTCTGAGGCGGGAAGCTAAACGCGAAACAGCTTTCCCACAGGACTTGGTCTACTAGATGTCAAGATTTATTACAAAGCTATGGTAATTAAGATGGGCTGGACCAGTGTTTCTTGACCTATTTTTCATTATTGTCCGCAGAAGGAGCCTTTTTAGAACTGTTTTTTCATAATGACCCCTCCCCCCCATGAACAACTTTAAAACTTTTTATTTTGAAACAATTGTAGATTCAAAGGAAGTTCCAAATATAGATAGATAATAGATAGATAGATAGATAGATAGATAGATAGATAGATGGATAATGTATATATCCAGGGGGTCCAGTGTACCCCTTACCCTGTTTCCCCCACTGGGAACCTCCCGCACACCTATAGTACAATATCATCTCTAAACCAGGACACTGACATTGGTACAGCCCACAGAGCTTATTCAGATCTTGCCAGTTATCCGCGCACTCCCCTGTGTGTGTGTGTGTGTGTGTGTGTAAGTATATGCAATTTTATCACACGTGTACGTTCCTATAACCACCCCGCAGTCAGATACAGAACAGTGCCACCACCACACAGTGCTCCCTCATGCTACCCTTTTATAACCTCCCACCACTTCTAATCCTCAGCCCCTGGTAACAACTGATCTGCTTTCCATCGGTATAATTTCATTATTTCAAGAATGCTATACAAAAGGAATCATACACTAGGTAATCCTTTGAGATTGGCTTTTTTTCTCTCAGCATAATTCCCTTGAGATCCATCCAGGGCATTGCATGTGCCAGTAGTTCATCCCTTTTCATTGCTGAGTAGCGTTCCAAGGTATGGATGTACCATAATTTGTTTAACTATACACCCAATTGAAGGAAATTGAGCTGATTCTAGTTTTTGCCTGTTATGAATAGAGATGCAATGAACATTTGTGTGTAGATCCTGTGAAATTTTAATACCACAGACATACTGTATATCTGGTCCTTTGGAGGGCCACGAACCATTGTAATATCCAAGATACTTTGTCCTCCAGGACAATGCATGAAATAGACCGAAGGAGCAGAATAAAAAGTTCAGAAACAAACTCATGAATATATGTACCCTTTATAGAAAGATGGTACCAGAGAGCAGTGAAAAAGGTTGCCTTTTTAGTAAATAGTACTAGGACAACTGAGTCTTTATACAAAAAATTACACATTTTTAGTTCATACCTCTCATCACACACCAAAATGAACTCTGCGTAGATTGCAGATCTAAATGTAAAAGTCATAATAACAAACAAACAAAGCTTCAAAAAGATAATATAAGAATATCTTGATGACTTCAGTTAGGGGGAATTTCCCTAAATAGGACACAGGAAGCAATAATCATTAAGGAAAGGACTGATGGATTGAAATCTATTAAAATTAAGAATGTCTATTCATCAAAATACACCATCAGCAGAGTGAAAAGGTAACCCGCACGGTGGAAGATGTATTTGCGACACATATAACCAACAGAGGGTTCTGACCTCCTTCGAGAGAACCTGCTGCAGGGAGCACAGGTGACAGCAGCCCAGCTGCTACCCCCTCTACCTGTCACCATGCTAGTGCAGAGGCCGCTGTGGGGACACGCATGCAGGCCCAGGCCTGCAGGGGGCAGGATTACATTCCTCTGTCAGGCAAATTTGGCTCAGGGCTGAATGAACCTTTCCGAGAACTGTGCTCGGTCTGACTCTTCTCTCCTTCCCAGCGGCAGGTCTGCATCTCATAGAAAACTCTCTCTGCCGCCTTCTGCTCTCTCTTCTTTATCTCTCACTTCCATTTCTCCCAATAAATCTCTTGCATGTCTATCTAATCCTGACCCAACAACTTCCCAGACGACCCAAACACACATAGATTCGTTTCCAGAAAACATAAGCTACTTCTAGGAATCAATAAGAAAAAGACAAACAACAAGTAGAAAAATGGGTGTGAGACTTGAAAAGCTCCGCACAAAGAGAATCTCCGAAGGACTAACACATGTACACAAAGATGTCCAACCTTATTAAGGAAGAAGGAAACACACATTCATTCACCAGTGACACCATGACTCACTCATCAGGATGCATGAAATTGAAAGGACTGACAATAGCAAGGGCTGGGGAGGATGCAGAACAACTGGAATTCACATACCCTGCTGGGGGGAGTGTAGAGGCCAACAAGCACCTTAGCAAGTGGTTTGAGAATTTCTGCTAGAGTTGCCAGACCGTGCAGTTCTGCTCCCAGGTATGCACCCAACAGAAACGTGTGCCCGTGCATATCAAGAAAGATACACAAGAATGTTCAGAGCAACAATTTTCCTAATGGCCCCAAACTGAAAACAACTCCAGTGTCCATCACCAACAGAAAGGAGAAATACTTTGTAGTGTATTCGTGTAACTGAATATTATACAAATTATGCAAAAGAATCAGTTATAGCTACATGCACTGATGTGGGTGACACTCATAAAACTTAATGTCGAAGGAGAGAAGCTTAGACAAAAAAGACATTCTGTGCGATTCCACTTATGTAAAGTTCAAAAACAATAGCAAAATAAAACCAGCATTTAGAGATGTGGGTTAGGTGGTACAATGATAAAGAAAAGGAAGAGTGATTGCCGCAAGAAGTCATAGCCTGCTTACCTTTGGGGGGGAAGGAGAGGGGGGAATGGGGGGAATTGAGAGGAGCAGGCAGGGGAGCTTGGGGGAGGGTGCTGGCAATGTTCTCTTTCTTGACCCAGATGGTGTTGACACAAGTGTCTCCTTTGTGACAAATCAACGTTTGTGTACCTTTCTTTATGTGTGTTTATATGTCCCAATAAAAAAGACTGAAAAAAATACTTTCCCAGCGTCACAGTCGCCAACCTGCTCACTGACAAAGCTAGACTTAGATGATAATTATCCCCCAATGACTTTATTCCAAGAATCTTTCCAGTGGACAATACCACCTTCTGCTATGGCGGTAGGCTGGAAAATGACCTCCAAAGATTCCAGGTTCCAATCACTGGAAAGTGCACATGTGACCTGATGTGGGAAAAGGATCTTTGTAGATGTGATTAAGGTAAGGATCTTGAGACAGGGAGGTAATCCTGGGTTAGCTGGGTGGGCCTTAATGACACCACCTGTACCCTTATAAGAGTAGGGCAGAGGGGGAGATTTCACACAGAGGAGGTGATGTGGAGACAGAGGCAGACACTGGAGTGACGCAGCCACAAGCCAAAGAATGCTTCAGGTCTTTAGCTCAGAAGCTGGAGGACGCAAGGAACAGATGCTCCCCTAGAACTCCCAGAGGGGCATGGCCCCCTCGTGATACCTTGGTTTTGGTCCAGTGATCCTGAGTTCAGATTTCTGGCCTCCAGAACGAGATAGAACAAATTTCTGTTGTTTTAAGACACCTAGTTTATGGGAATTTGTTACAGCAGCCACAGGAAACGAATCCAGGTACCTCCAAGAAAACTGTATGCGTTTTTATAGCTAGTGAGGTTTAAGTTCAGGCCACAGCTCTGCTTCTAGAAGAAACGTGTCAGAGCCCTTGGTGGGGAAAGTGGTGTCGTAGGAGTGGGAATCCCTGAGTCAGGAGTCTGGTCTGCCCCTTGCATCCCTCACTTTGATCTGCAGATTCTGGGCTGGTGATACCGGCCCTGAGATCAGTTTCCCTACGTTAAACCCAGCATATATGAGATTAAAACCAAAGCATGCATTCCCTGCTTACTCCCTGGCTTCCTGGCTCCAGAATCCACTCTACGCCATGGAGACAAATGGCCAAAGACAACCACCTGGATTTGTTATCTCCTCCCCGTAAGGGGCTACAGGCTGGTGGGAAAGCTGCTGACCAACAAGGTCACGGGCTCCCTCCTCTCTGCAAGTAGTCTCAAGGCCATATGCTCCCTCTCCCCTACCTAAAACCCCAAATAAAAACCCTTTCTTTTAGCTTTTCAGGGAGTTTGGGATTTCAGCGTTAGCTGCCCTTTCTCCTCGCTCAGTGCTGTCCAATAATAAAATTCCTACAGGGGCTGGCCCAATGGCCGAGTGGTTAAGTTCGCATGCTCTGCTTCAGCGGCCCAGGGTTTTGCCAGTTCGGATCCTGGGTGCTGACATGGCACTGCTCGTCAAACCATGCTGAGGCGGCATCCCACATGCCACAACCAGAAGGACCCACAACTAAAAATACACAACTATGTAACAGGGGGTATTGGGAGAAGAAGGAAAAATTTTAAAAAATTAAAAAACAAAATTCCTATGTTCTTCCACTACATCTGGTGTCAGAGATTGGCTTGCTGTGCAACAGGTGAGCGAGCTCACTTTGGGTTCAATATCACTGGGTTGCACTGGTTCTGACTTTTATGACCTGCTCCTCCCACCTGCCCCATTGCCACACCAGGTTAACACCGTCCTGCCTCGGAACAACTGGTGGCTGCACCTCAGGATGAGCCAGGACAGCTGGTGGGTGGGGAAGAAACCACGTGCTTGCTGCCTGCAACCCAAGCCCTCACTTGCTAAGTGTACTGTGCTGAGCACCCGGAAATTTAGGCCCTGCCCCAAAGGAAGAGGTTCTTCATCTTGTTAGGGAGGCAAGAGAGGCACACAGACAGTTAAATAGCTATACCCAACTTTACCGATCCAAGAAAGGCCATGAAATAATATATGCTAACGACCAGGTGAATGGCACAAGTTGAGTAGCACAGGTGTACAATCCCTTATCCACATTTCCCAAAATCCAAAACCTCTGAACCCCTAAGTTGTTTGGTAATTAATCTGACAGTAAGATCTGCCCTACACTGGCCATTTGAAGTGTTTATTTAACCCACTTTGTATGACTATTCATACACTTCACTGTAGGAATATTAAAGCATTTGACCACGGGGCGCTGGCCAGGTCCTGCTGAGGGTGTTAAGTAACATAGGATGCGACCCCCTAAGATCTGACAGACGCTGAACTCTGAAATCTTTAGCTCTAAGAGTTTTTGCTGGGAGATTGGAGACCTGTAAATATGATGAGTTGAAGTGGAAGGTTTGCCTGAGACCCTAAGGGGACAAATATCAGATACCAAAGATAGTTATGAGACAGAGGTCCAGTAAAACCTACAAAAGGAAGCTGGCTCCTTACTCTGACGCAAGGTATGAAGAGTTACAATCACGAACAGAGCAAAGGGAGTGAGAAAGATCAGCCAGCCATCTCCAGGAGGAAAGCAGGGGGCCCTGTCGGTGGAGCTTGGGAATTTGTGCGTTATCTTGAGGGTAATGGGGGAAAACCGAGGATTTTAAACAGAGGGACATAACTAGGAGCTGGGCTTCCTGTGAACGGCCGGAAGAAGAGTACAAATCAATGCACAAGCATCTCTTTGACATTTGTGTGGTGGCGAAGTGGCTGCTGGGGGTTGGGGTAAACTTGGGAGAGAGAGAGATGCTTGGGTGAAGAAATGTGGAGACAGCATGGAAAATATAGTGAAAAGGGCAGGGACACTTACGTGAGGGAACCGCACATTTGAATTTTCTAGATCAAGGGGAGGAGGCCACTGAGAGAAAACAGGAAGACCCATTGTGTCAGTCCTCGAGACTGGACATGTCATAAACTGGAACGCTGGGGACACGTCCAGATCATCTTTGGGGGCATTTCTAGAATGAATTAAGAAGTGAGACAGAAGTAGTTGTTACAGGAGACAGAGCAGGGAGTAAATGGCACAAAAACTGTGTGAGATTCCTGGAAATCCCACAACATCGTGGCGTTTGTTACCCTCCTTTGCCCCATCTGTTTCTGCCGCAGAGTAATTGGTAGTTAAGGGCGGTGCCCAGAAGCGAGGCCTGGGCATGGAGCAAGGGTGTGGTCTTCCAAAGTTAGCTCCGAGGGGAGGGAACCCCAGAGGGAGGGCAGCTTTGCATTGCAGGCTTCGAAGCCCTGAGGAAGGCCTGCTTCAGGGCTTCCTGGGAGGCACGTAAATTTAATGGAAAAGAGATCCAGTCCACCTTCCTGGGGAAACCTCAAGTGTGAAGAGAACGGCTTCACGCCCCTCAGTGAGATGCATGTTACTCACACCCATGTGTCCCCTCTCTGGGAGATATCCCCAGTGGTGGGTTTCCTGCCATCCCTGGAGGTCACGAATGTCCTTTGCTGTCTGCTCAGCTCTTCAGCCCGTGGGCCTCTGAGCCCCTCTGTACAGCACAGCAGAGTCTCTCCTCATCTTTGCTCTAGTAGGAAATAACAGCTTCCCTTTACTGAGGTCTTAGCACTGTGCTAAGTGCTTTCTATAGGTTACCTTATTTGACCTTTCAACTCAACAGTATCTTTGAAGTAGGCGCCAGTTTTATAGATGAGGAAGTAGAAATTTAGAGAGTAAGTCACAAGCCCAAGTTCAGACAGGAAGGACAGAGAGGGAGATGTGAATGCAAATCTGTCTGGCCCCCATGTCCAGGCACTAGAGTAGACACAGACAACGCCTAAACCAGAGCTTCTGGGAGCTCCACGTCACTGTCTGGCCTAATCAGCTACTGGAAAGCAGCTGGAAAGGAACGAAACCCACGGGGGACTCTGGGAACCAAGTGGCATGCTTCAAATCCCGCCTCATCTCTCAGTAGGTAACCCGGCTGAGTTACCCAGCAGGATACTTAACCTCCAGATGCCTCGGTTTCCTAATCGGAAAATGAGGCTAGTAGTCTCTGCTCCTTAGAATCGTTGGGAGGATTAAATGAAGTAACCCAGGAGAGGACTCAGAACAGCGCCTGGACCCTACTAAGTGTTTAGTAAATGTCACCCGTCATCAGCATCTTCCTAGCATCGCTTCTGTCCTCGAGCCTCAGGGGTGGGGCCCTGCTTGTCAGGGAGCAATTGTCATGAAGGGTGTTGGAAACCGTGGCCAGCTTCCTTCTCGGCACTTCCCAGAAGTGGTTGTTGTGGGAGAAATATAGCTCTTTTCAGCGTTAGTGTTTATTTTTATAACTCTGAACTCTGCCGTTAGAACTGTCATTTACATCTGAAGTCAAATCACAAAAGCTTCTGGTCCCAAAGGGAACCTTTGGGTGAGAGGTTAGAGAAGAAAGGAGGCATCTCGCTCCTCCCAGAAGAGATGAGTTGCCCCCTATGTGGTAGCCCTCCCAGCCTCATTAATCTCTTTTCTGGTTTCTGCCATGTGGGACAAGACACAGCCCCTCTGAAAAACCGCGAGGACGAGATGTGAAGGGCCTTGACTTGGGCAGCAGACTGTGGAATCTGGGGCTTTAAGATCTGATACAGCAGGAAGGGGCGAGCCCAGTCCAGGCTCTCAGAACGACTTTGATTCTTAAGTTAGGAGAAGCAGAATGAGTCCCAAAGCAGCATTCTCTCCAAGTCTGTGCATAAGATAGGGGCTAGACTATGAAACAGAAAAGACTCAGGAAAAAGATGGTTCTAAAACAACAAGTTCTTTCTGGAATCATGACAGTAATAATAAATGGACTAGATGTGCCAATGACCTCTTCTACGGCCCAGCCGCAGCCAGGCTTTGCATCCCGGGACTGCCTCCGCCGTCAGCCCCCAGCTGCTTGGTCCAGGTGGGCACCTTATCCCAGGCCTGCGCATCCTTAGGTTGGCCCGCAGCTTGGGTCAGGCTTTGCCATGGAAAGGATTGCCTTTCTAAGGAATGTGAGCTAGTGGATACTGAGAGAATGCGGGGATTTGTGACTGGAGCTGGCGGGGGAAGGAAGCTTTGACAGACTCCATGAGGGAGGGTTCAGGGGTGAGACAGCGTGGCAGGCCCCCGTGATCCTGCACGTAAGATGCAGCTCCAAGTCAGAGGAAACAGATGCATGATGGAGGGCAAGGAGGCTGGTTCACAGAGCCCAGGCCTGAGAGGAGACTGTCAAACTTCTCGCTTGTTAGTGGTGGCTGGGCTCCACTGTGGTTCCTGCTCTGGCTGGGGTTTGACTGCTGGCTTTTCCTAGATCCCAGGGACTTGTACCCTCACCATAGGCCCCCATTCTTTGAGGAACATAAATGAGTTAGTTCCTTCAAATAAATGAACCTTCTAGAAACAAATCCTATCCCTTATTCAGCACTTAACTATGTGTCAGGCACTCCTAACAAAGTACACACATTATCTCATCAAATCTTTACAACCACCCCAGAAAGTATTAGTTGCTTCTTATAGATGAAAAAACTAAGTCTCAGAGGGTAACTTGCCACAGAGCCAGGATATGCTTGTCTATCGATAAATCACCCATCAAACATGGTATGTTTAGCTCTTTCTCAGTCTGATAGCTAGCTGTCTAGACCTGTGCTCTGCAAACTTTAATTTGCATATGAAGCTCTCTAGGATCCTGTTAAAATGTAGATTCTGATTCAGTAGGTCTGGAATGGGGCCTGAGACCTTGCACTTTCAGCAAACTCCAAGGTGATGCTGATGCTGCTGGTCCACAGACCAAGCTTTAAGTAGCAAAGGCCTAAGTCAGTTTGCCAGAATTAAGCAGCCACTTGGGAAACTGTAGTGTACTTTGGAGGGAGGAAAAGGCAGCTCTGCCAGCAAAAACTAAAACTCTAGAGAAGTGACAGAAACATTACACTTTCTGAATGTGCAATGGGTTTGCTCACATTTCAAGCTGTGAGTTCACTTTGGGGAGTTAAAGTTACTGTTAATTTTGATGGTAGTTTGTTGTTAAGATTCATTGGATCTTAACAGGTGTAAGAAGTCATTCAAGGGTGTAGTCAGTTACATTCACCTGAGTGGCTCCCTCGGGGATTTGGGTACCTCTGACTCTGAACCTCAGACTACAGAGTACTTCCTGTGTTCCTGTGTGGTCTACACAGGTGTGTGCATCGAATCAGCTGGGGTGTGCCTTCATCTAGATGTCTGGGCCCCATCCAGGTGTCCGGAATGAGAAACCTAGGGTGGGGCCTTGGAATCTGTATTCTTAACAAGTTTGCACCACCCCACTCTCATTCCCAAGCGAATCTGATGGGAATCTCTGGGCGAGACGCCTTCTAGGTCCCGTCCACTGCTTGCACTTTTATGATTTCAGGTTCTGCTGCCATCAGAAATACACGAAAAGAGGAGCATCAGCCCAGGGAACCCATAAAGAAAAGTTAAACGCTTAGAAAACGTCATACCGATCAGCATAATGATCAAGTTCGCCGCTCCATATTTTTCTATCTCGTGAATCCAGTGAGGAACAGACTCGAAGGTGGACCGCCGGGTGAGGTCATAGGCGATGATGGCCGCGTGGGCACTGCGGTAGTAGCTTTGGGTGATGGTCCGGAAGCGCTCCTGGCCTGCGGTGTCCCACACCTGCATCTGGAGAAGGGGTGGAAAGGGGATCTGATGAGGAGCTCCCACACCTGATGGGAACTTGCTCACTTAAGCCATCTGAAAAACAGTTTCCTTGTCTCACTTCGAGATACCCAGATTCAGTAGGTCTGGGGTGGGGCCCAGGAATCTATTTTTTCAGTTGCTTCCCAGGGTAATTTGGATGTGCTTTTAGGTTTGGGAGTCACCACCTAAGGGATGCTTGAGTTGGAAGGGTGAATCTAATGTCCTGGGATCTGGTGTTCTTTTGGTTTTTCACCCTCAGTCACCCATCATCCAGATTTTGGGGTTTATCTTTTGAGCCTGCCCATTGATACTAATACTGGCAAAGGTGACAGCATTGGCTGAACTGTTTTAGATGTTAAAGGACCACTCAGCTGTTCGCGTTTAGGAGTGTTCCCATAATAATACCATCCAAATTACAGTCCCAAGCGGTAGCAGCAAAGTATACACCCTCCAACAGTATGTGAGGGTACTGTTTCTTCATACTCTCACACTATTTATAGTACTTATTATTTTCTTTGTGAGGAAGATTGGCCCTGAGCTTATATCCATGCCCTTCTTCCTCTTTTTTGCTTGAGAAAGATTATCCCTGAGCTAACATCTGTGCCAACCTTCCTCTACTTTATACGTGGGACACTGCCACAGCATAGCTCAATGAGCAGAGTAGAGGTCCACATGCAGGATCCGAACCTGCAAACCCCAGGCTGCCGAAGCAGAGGGCACGAACTTAACCACTATGTCACCTGGCCTGCCCCAATACTTATTTTTTAAAGAAAGTTTGCAAACATACATGAAACTAGAGAGAATAAAACAACAGGCCCTCATATATCCATTATCCAGATTCAATAATTATCAAAATTTTGACACTCTTGCTTCATTTAGCCCTTTCGGTTGATTTCCTTGAGGTATTCTTTTTTTCTTTTTAAAGATTGTATTTTTTTCCCTTTTCTCCCCAAAGCCCCCCAGTACATAGTTGTATATTCTTTGTTGTGGGTCCTTCTAGTTGTGGCATGTGGGACGCTGCCTCAGTGTGGTTTGATGAGCAGTGCCATGTCTGCGCCCAGGATTCGAACCGATGAAACACTGGGCCGCCTGCAGCGGAGCGCACGAACTTAACCACTCGGCCACGGGGCCAGCCCCTCCTTGAGGTATTCTTTTAAAGCAAACCCAAGACCTCACATCATTTCACCCCTCCTTACACCAACATACATCCTTATAAAAATGGACACTTTCTGGGGCCAGCCCCATGGCCGAGTGGTTAAGTTCATGTGCTCTGCTTCGGCGGCCCGGGGTTTCGCCAGTTCAGATCCTGGGTGCGGACATGGCACCGCTTATCAGGCCATGCTGAGGCGGCGTCCCACATGCCACAAATAGAAGGACCCACAACTAAAATATACAACTAGGTACTGGGAAGATTTGGGGAGAAAAAGCAATAAGAAAAAGGGACATTTTCTTACATAACCACAATGTCATTATCACCGCTAATAAACTTTTCAATAACTCCTTAGTATCATTTATTTATTTATTTATTTATTTATTTGAGGAAGATTAGCCCTGAGCTAACATCTGCTGCCATTCCTCCTCTTTTTGCTGAGGAAGACTGGCCCTGAGCTAAGATCTGTGCCCATCTTCCTCTACTTTCTATGTGGGATGCCTACCACAGCATGGCGTGCCAAGCGGTGCCATGTTGGCACCTGGGATCCGAACCAGCGAAGCCCGGGCCACCAAAGTGGAACGTGCGCACTTAACCGCTGTGCCACCGGGCCGGCCCCTTGGTATCATCTAATATCCAGACTGTATAAAAATTTTCTTGATTGTCTCCAAAATGTCTTTTTACTGTTCTTTTCATTTAATCAGGATCCCAAACAAGATCTGGTTATTACATTTTCACCAACACTTTTTGATCTTTTCTAATCAAATGGGGAAAAGATAGTATCTCACTTATTTTAATTTGCACTTCTTTAATTGTGAGTGAGGATGGGCACCTTTACATGACATAATTTAGGAGCTAGTTCTGATAAAATCTGTGAAAGAGCAGTTTTGTCCAATCTATGAATTGCTTCCTTTTTGTACTTGGTTGTTGGTCTTTTTCTTATTTATCAGAGCTCTTTTCAAATTAAAGAAATTAGCCCTTTGTCAAGTCCTATATTTGCAAATGTTTCTTTCCAGTTTTTCATTCATCTTTTGACTCTATTTATGGTATTTTTGAGTATGTAGAAATTTGACCTTTATATTGTTATATAGAAATGTATACATTTGACCTTTAGATAATTATGATTGAGCAATATTTTCCTTCATGCATTCTGGGTTCTTACTCAAAAGGCTCATTTTCCCATTCCACAATGATAAAAATAAATACTCCCAGGTTTCGTTCTGGTTCTTTTATGATTTTGTGTTTTCTATGTAAATCCTTTATTCCTCAGATGTGTGCTTCAGTGTTAGGAACTCCGGCTAAAAGAGGCGGAGCCGACCCCGTGCCCCTCTGACCTTCACTTTCTTGCCATCGATTTCAAGGGAGCGCACAGTGAAGTCCACCCCGATTGTGTTCTGCTGTGTCTCTGTGTAGACGCCGGATCTGAAATGCTGCACCACACACGTCTTCCCCACATTGGAATCCCCAATGAGGATAATCTTGAACAAATAGTCGAAGTTCTCATCAGCTGCCCTGGCTGAGCCGGAGAATTGCATGGCTCTTGCCACCTAGAATGGACCAAGGAAGAAAAGAAGGAATTCAGCGTCTCTTTAGCGAGAACCTACCATGTGCCGGGCACTATTCTAGGCACTTGGGGCCCAGGACAGGACAAGACAGAGGGAGGTCACTGCTTTCATAGCACTGACATCCTTGTGGTTCTGAGAAGGACACTAATTACTAGTCAGGTACAGGAGAGCTGTCCCACAAGCCCACACCTGCCCTCGTGGGTTGACGTCAGTTTAGAGGCGTACTCTGAATGAAGAGGTTCTACTGCTACTCTCTGCTGGGCCCAGTACACAGTGAACACTAGAGACCAGGTGCCCCACGCTCCATCGAGTGCCTGGAGAGCAGCAGGATGGCGGAGGAGATGCCCACAGGAGTGTTCACCTGCCATTCATCAGTTGGCAGACATGCCTACTGTCATCCTCTCTTCATCTCACATGGGAAGGAACACTCCCAACTATCGGAAGACTGAATGTCCAGGCAACCAGCAACCAGGGCTGACCAGATCCGACAGAGAAGTCAGTTTAGGGAGGACTGACATGGCCTTTTTCTTCTGTTTGGCACCTAATTTTTCTTGAGTAGGAAATTAGGATTTTGAGACTATTCAAAATGCAAACTGTGGTTAGAATGTTTATGGTACACTTTACCATAGGCCTGAAAATAACGTTTCTAATGACAGTGTTTCCCAAACTGACTGATTACATCAGAATTATCTGGGGGAGATAATTAAAACTATATATTCCTGGAGCCCATCCCAGAATTGCTAAATAGATTTAAAAACATGCACACACAAATATGCACACACTTCCCAGGGGATTCTGATCACCAGCCAGGTTTGGGAAACGTTGATCAACACAATCACTCACCTGAAACTTTATGCCCACCTTCAGCATCTCTGCTGAAATATCCACCTATGCTTCAATATCTTTGATCATGAGCAACTCACTATCTCCTGAAAAAAATCCATTTTGCGTGAGCAGCTCTAACTTGCATGGGGTTGAAATGGATCTCCCTGGGGTTTCCATCAGTTGACCCTTGTGCTACGCCAGGACTCGGCAGATTCCTCTTCCACATGACGGCCCGTCAGATATTTGAAGCAGCAAGCACATCCCCTCGGGGCAAACATCCCTAGGCCCTCCAACTGTTCTTCATATGATATTGTGTTGGATCTCCTCATCAAATGTCTGATAAAAATACATGAAATCTTATTCCATTTGATGATTAAATTTGATGTGCTTCTGCCTTCTTCATTCCTCCCAGTTTTATTCTTTCATTTTCTCTAAAGTCATAGAAAAGGACAAGTCTATGTCATCACAAATTAAAATGCACACAAATATCCAATCTGTGTGTAAAAACCTCAAGCTCTAAATGGTGAAGAAGGATCCCATACCTCTCTTGGACGCCTCTGAAATCACCTATAGTTAAATGATCCAGCAGACAAGAGATACAATCAAACCACTTTTTTTCCCTCTGGCTTTTCAAATAAAGAAAGCTATTCCACTTCCGGCGTCTTATCACTGCAACTAAAGCTGAAATCTTCCTTCCATGTCTCCCCTCCTCAAGTAAGTCCTCATGTTTCCACGGAAGTCCCCTTTAACTTAGCCTAACGCCCTGCAAGGAGAAAGGAGCAGTGTCCCCCGGCGGGCGCCCTCCAACCCGCATCCCGCAGCCTCCACCTTCCTGGTTCACCTGTTGCTTACCTGTCTTTCTCTCTCACCTCCGCTAGCAGGTAATGTTCTCTTTTCTCCTTGTTTTCCTTTTCGGCCCTCGGTGCCCCTTCTTCCTCCTGCCTCGCTGCGTGGTGGGAACTGTAGTTCTGTCCCCAGGTGTCAGGTTTAGGTGGCCTGAGAAAGTGAAAGGAAAGTGCAAACCCTCCCACCGCCCCCGGGCCTGGAGCTGGAGCTGCCGTTGGGTACAAAGCACAAGGTGAGGCGCTGGCTAGCACAGCCACGCAAAGTCCACTTCCCTCCGATGTTCCTGACCTAGCAAAGCCCACACAAAAGGACTAGCCAGTTCACTCAGCCAATACCTATTAAGCCATCCTGTTTCTTCTTTCTGCTCACCTTCTCTCGGGCAGCCTTCATCCCCGATTTTTCCTGCTGTCCCTTGTTTGGCTGGGGTGGGGGGTGGCTAGTCGAGAGGACACAATTTAAAAGAGGATACGGATCTGGGTGTTGAGTCATTTAACTGTTTTGTGGACTTGAATAACTCTTTCTGAGGAGACAGTGAGAGAAAGGAGATTATCAAAGAGAAAATTGAAAAACTAAAAGAACTTTAAATTTGTATGGGAAGAAAGAGCTGGAAAAAAAATTTCTGTTTCCCTCCCTCAAAAACTCTCTCTCAGAACAAAGGTTAACTTCCAGGTGGGAGGAAACCTAGAGTTTATCAGTCCCCCATGCTGGCAGGGGAAGCACAAAGCTGAGGTGAATATTCCCTATTTTTTTCCCCACAGAGTCTGGAAGAGTTACCGCCTCTCATCTCATAGGGACTAGATTTCCTCCACCATATAGAATGTAACATGTAGGCAGTCAAACTATAGGCACAATATGCAAAACAGAAACATGTGGATTGATAAAATATTTAAATTGGTATAGTGTTTTCACACTGTGAGCTGCATCCTATTAATGAGTCATGAAATCAGTTTTAGTGGGTTGCAACCAGCATTTTTACAGAAGAGATTAGGGTAAAATTTCAGACTGTATCTCATGTCGTAAGGCCAAGTATTGTTTTGTGAAAAGTTTGGGTCAGTTGGATGTATGCATGTGTGTACTGGGGGTGATGTAAAATGTATTTCTAACTGTGGGTTGAGATCTACAAAGACTGAGAAGCACTGAAATAGAGGCCAGTTTATTCACCATCCAAGAACGTTCCTTTCTATGATTCCTTCAGGGAACCTTTAAAATATGATCTATCTTATCCCAAATTCCGTTTACACATCTTTAGGAACCTCTCTTTTGGGTAAGAAACCCAGTGCTGGTAGGTAGAGCAAAAAAAAACAAAAGACAGAGCCACAGTCAGCCGTCTATGACTTGGAAACGAAATGTAGGTCAAGATCCACCACAAATGTAAGGGCAGGGGGCAGGAGATAAAAGGCGTTAGATGTCGATGTCAATGAGGTTAGGCGTCAAAATGTTTTCTTCTTCTCCTTGTGGCTACTGTTAAAGAAAAAAAAAATTCAGCTGACTCATACCCAGCACTTGGAGAGCATCTAAAAGTAGAAATCAAACGATAAAATGTCCAGATGGTTATGGAGGTCCAGGAGAGATTCTGCCTCTCCCTATCCCGACCCTCGGCACCAGACCCTCTCCATCAACATGACTACGAATGCCAAGAGCATAGCTTGGGCTCTGGGGAAGAAGGCAGTTGACCTGGGTGTGGTGATACGGGTTATATACTTATTTTATACACACACACATACATATATGTATATATACGCACATATATTTCACAATATATATATTTTACTATTTTAGCCATTTTTTTTTTCAAAGATTGGCACCTGAGCTAACATCTGTTGCTAATCTTTTTCTCCTTCTTCTTCTTCTTCTCAAAGTCCCCCAGCACATAGTTGTATATTCTAGTTGTGAGTGCCTCTGGTTGTGCCATGTGGGACGCCGCCTCAGCATGGCTTGATGAGCGGTGCCACATCCGCGCCAAGGATCCGAATCAGGGGAATCCCGGGCCCTGAAGTGGAGTGTGCAAACTTAACTACTTGGCCATGGGGCGGCCCCTATTTTAGCCATTTTTAAGTGTACCGTTCAATAGTATTAAATATATTCACATTGTTGCGCAACCATCACCACCATCCATCTCCAGAACTTTTCATCATCCCCCACTGAAACTCTATATCCATTAAACAGTTACTCCCATTTCCCCCTCCCCCCAGCCCGTGGTAACCACTATTTTCCTTTCTGTCCCTATGAATGTGATTTATATATATATTTTAAACCCGATGTTTATTTATTTATTTATTTTTGGTGAGGAAGATTGGCCCTGAGCTAACATCTGTGATATCTTCGTCTATTTTATGCCCAATGCCGCCACAACGTGGCTTGAGGAGCAGTGCTAGGTCCGTGCAGGATGGGGATCCCTGAACCCCTGCCCGTCCCCCTCCCCCCAAGCAGAGCGGATGAACTTAACCCACTACTCTACCAGGCCGGCCCCCACAATACATTTTTTAAAATAAAAGTGAAACATTTGGCTGATTTATTGTTACTCACCCTGATATCACATTTCCCTAGCCACACACACCCTCAGGCAACTGGAAATAAAAGTACCACTGTGTTGTGTAAAGGCAGATACAAATTAAAAATAAGAGGCTTAATTCTCCCTGTTGAAAATAAGGGGAGAGATACCCTCCTCCCTTTTCTTTCAATATTTCTTTCTCTTTCCTTTTCAAATATATGTATATCTTTATAATGGCTAAATAACCTCGGGCAGTCTCCCAACTCAGGAATGTTTCCTCCAGGCCCTGGCAGCCATCTTTTGAAACGCAAACATCCAGGGAGATAGTGCCCCTGACTCCCAGTTCCTGTGGGAGGGGAGCCTAACTTCTGTGCATGCCTTGCTCCAATTTGCAAAACTCTCTCTTGTCTTAAAGATATGAGAAGTTTGTTTCTCTCCTGGATAAGCCAACACAGGTCGTTTCCCCAGTCACTGTGATAAAGTTAGGACAAACTATGTGTAACAGAGTGTCCAGTCAAGTCCTCTCATCTGAGGACTAGTGACTGTTTATCTTGAGAACATGCATGTAATGGATTGTGTCTCCTTGGCTATACGAGGGGGCAATCTCTTAGTGCATCGCCAGCGACGTGCATCACGTTCTGGTTTAAAGCTTTTTCGATAATAAAACTGTTTTCTAATCTACTACCTTTGTGGAGAGGTTTTCTGGGTTAGGAGAAGTTTTTTTTTTTTTTTTTTTTACATTATATTTCCCCAACAGTTGAAAGAGCCCAGTAGGGCATAGGACCCCTGTTCAGCCTTGTGCGTTCTAAGGCCTTTAATTTTTGATTGAGGCTGCCAGGATCTTAACATTCATTTGTTTGTTTGGGTGGGGAGAACAGTGAACGATACTGGCAGACTAACGGCCCTGTCTTTACAGGCCACTGTCTTTAATTAAACAAAATCTAAAGCTTACGCCCTCACGGCAGGTCCGTAACACACTTAGCAGCACGTTACTTTCTATAAAAGCAAAGAGCGAATAAAGCTTTTTTGAAAAAAGATGCTCTATAGATCATTTCTCCCCAGATTATATCTTATCCTCCCTCATTGCCTTTTTCCTAACATTTGTGGCCGGCGTTCCCACCCTTCCCCAGCAGCCGGGTCCACAGAGGCCTTCGCCCTGCCATCCCCTCCCACTCCCTCTCACTCTGGCCCGCTCTCACCTCCCGCAGATGAAGCCGCGCGGTCGGACTACAATCCCCAGCATGCCGCGGGGACGGGCGGATCACGTGAGCGCCCGGAAGCCCTGGCCGCCGCGCGGTGGGTGAGGTGGCGGCGGGGGCGGCGCGCAGCGCAGCGGAGCCGAGCGAGCGGAGTCAGGGATCGGAGCGCGGCGATCACTGCGGGTCTCGGGTGCGCGAGCCGCGGCGCGTGGGCCCCGAGCCGAAAAGGACCGAAACCCGGCTTGCGGCGGCGGGTGGGGCCGCCGCACGGGAGGGCAGGTCCGAGGGGCTTCCAGGGAAGGGGAGGGCGATGCGGAGATGCAGATGGTGGCGTCCGGTGGGTGTGGCGCCGCGGGCAGGGCCGGCCGGCCGGCTGCTCGCTCCCTCCGCCCCGGGCCTGGCTCCTCGGCCCCCCGGTGCTGCGGGGCCTAGGGGGGCCGGCAAGGACCGCAGCGGGAGGAGAGCGGGAAGATCCGGGAGGACCCCGGGGGAAGCTGGCGGCCGGGCCCGCGCCAGCGCGGCGGCGGGGGCTTTGTGCAAGAAAAGAGCTTGTAGTGTAGACCAGGGGAAGGGATACTTTTCAGGTGTGGTGGGGAAGCTTTTGGAAAGGATGTACTGAGGCCAAAGAGGGAGAAGGGTCTTCGGGAATAACTGGGTTTTGCTTTTTGGTAACTACCCATGGTCTCAGTCAAGGAAGTTGGTCAGATTGCTTATTCGTCATTCCCTCAGGATTCTTATCTACAGAATGTGGTCTGTTTATTCTCACTTTCGACAGGGAGTAATGGGAATGTGTGCACAGGGTTTTCGTGTTTTCCTGAAATACAAGACTGTAGTTGATCTCGTGGTAACTTTTACTGAAATGTTCTTAGGGAGAAGAATATGTTCCTGGGGTGAGCAAAACGTGACTCTTAATTGCCACCTTCTTTCTTCAGTGTCTTGGTGGTGAATTCTTTCTTTCCCATTTGTTGGATGTTTACTGTGTGCCAGCCTCTTTGCTAGGAACTCTCTATAAATGATCTTATTTAATCCTTAAATGAGGAAATTGAGGCTCAAAGAAGTTAAGTGGAGGGTCTTGGATTCCAACTAGAACTTTAACGCCTTTTTGTGGGCTACACGTGGCTTCAGATGACTTCATTCTTCTCTTAACCTTTAATTTCCGGTGTCTGCCCTAGAAAATAATCCTGAAACAATACTTTTATAAAATTCAAGTCGATGCCGGGTCTTGTTGCTCACCAGCTGTTAGGATCAAGTGTATTATTCATTGTTTCAGGTCCTCATTTGTCCCTTTCATCAGTGATAGTAAAATGTCACAGCAATGACTGTTGGCTTGAGTAGATGTCCTTTGGCTGGGCGAGAGAAAGGTTTTTATCTTGAAAACTAGCGTTTGGAATGTTTTCAAAATAGGTAGGAAGAATGTAGTTTTGGAAACCCTGGAATAAGATGAGAGAATTTTACAGATAAGTGGTAGGTATTTTACATCTGTGGTAATGAAACAATTTAAGAGGAGAGGAAAATTACAGAAAGGCTTGAGTGTTGAATAAAAGGATTTATGTGGTACAGGCAAACAGCTTCCAGTGAGATAATGTGGGATAAAAAGATCCTTGTGTAAGTGTCGAGCATTGGGGGCTAAATTACAACGTACGCAATATAGTCAAAATAGGTGAGCTCAACTATCTAATATTTTTCCACCTACCTCTTTCTAGTTTGAATACACATAATCTTTTTACTTTGTAAACGTGAAAACTAAAGTCTGGGGGGTTAAGTAATTGCCCATCTAATGCCCTTCTCGTTTGTACAAGAGAACTGCTATTACTAATCAGGTATGTTTTTTTCTATCCTAGATTTATACCTTTAAGTTTAAGGTGAGATATGTCTAATTACTGGGATATTTTATATTTTAACCTCTCCTCTCATACAGTATAACATGGAGTCTAGGGTGAGGTCTGGGTTTGAATGCTTGCTTCATCTCTTAGGAGATAGTACTTTCTAAAGTCTGTTTTCTCCTCTGTAAGCTGTTGTGAGAACGAAAGGCAATAATGCCTGGCAAGTACCTAGCACAGAGTCTGGCACTTTGAAAGCATTCAGTCTTGGCCTTCAGTCAAGGAATTCATTCCTTCAGAACGTCTTTATTGATCCTTCTAAATGCCCTGCTAGGTGCTGGGGGTGTGCTGTGTACTTAAGACAGAGGAGGCCACTGCGTTTACGGAGCTTACAGGTGAACAGTAAACGTGTAAGCAGTGAAACCAGATCATTAGATTGGGAGAAATGCTGTGAAGGGAGGAAACAGACGAAGACGAGAGAGGTAGTAGCTGAGGGCGACATTTTAGATAGGGCAGTCAGGGCAGGCCTCTCCAGGAGATGACATTTGAGGAGGAGCCAAGAAAAAGAAAGAGCCAGCCGTTTGCAGAGAACCAGAAGAGCATGTCAGGCAGTGGAACAGCAATCGCAAAGGCTCAAAGCAAGAAAGGGCTTGGTGGTTTCAAGGACAAGAAAGGGATTAGGTGTGGGGGAGGTTGTAGTGAGTGTGGAGGAGTGGTGCTGGTGAGGGTGGGCAGCGAGATGGGCAAAGAGTAGAAAGGAAATGTGCTCCTCATGGTGTGTACTGGCAAAGAACTGGAAATCACCCAGATGGTCGGTTGGAGACTGAAATGTGGGAGCTCTGTAGGTGCACATGTGGGTGAACCTCTGACCTCAGAGAAGTGAGGAAAAAAAGGTGCAGAATGATGTGTGTTGGGTGCTCCCGTTTGTGTATATGGGAGTGTGAGGGGCTACGCCTGGAAGGTATGCACAGGTATAGCTTCTGCAAGAATGCAAAAGAAACTGGTAGGAGCACAGGGTGTCTTGAGAACAGGGAGGGAGATATCACTATATACCCTTTGGTGTCTTTTGAATTTTCTACCTTATGTGTATATTACCTATTGAAAATTAATAAAATAATTAAAACCAAACCCAACCTCTCCAGTCATTGCTCAGGCAGTCCCCTCCTTCGTCCTTACCCTCCTTCCACCAACCCCAGCCGTCAGCTCTCCTGCTCCCTGCCCCTTCGCCTTCCTTCTTTACTACAGAGGGCTGGGGTAGACAGGTTTTGGAGGCCATGGCAAAACCTTTATTTATTTTTTATTTATTTTTTTTAAAGATTTTATTATTTCCTTTTTCTCCCCAACACCCCCCGGTACATAGTTGTATATTCTTCGTTGTGGATTCCTCTAGCTGTGGTATGTGGGACGCTGCCTCAGCGTGGTTTGATGAGCAGTGCCATGTCCGCGCCCAGGATCCGAACCAACGAAACACCGGGCCGCCTGCAGCGGAGCGCGCGAACCCAACCACTCAGCCACGGGGCCAGCCCCAAAACCTTTATGTTTTTATCTGAGTGTTGGGAGGCCGTCAGAGCATTTTAAGCAGAGGAATGATAGCTGATTTATATCTTAAGATATCTTTCTGGCTGATGTGTGCGGAATGATGGGGGCTGGAAAAGTAGATGTAGAGATAGTGAACCCTGCAGGAGGCTGTTGCAGTAGGCTTGGTGGGAGGTACAGGTGGTTTATCTTAGTGGTGGCAGTGGGCGTGGAGAGAAGAGGATGGGTTTGGGATATGTTTTGCAGGTAAAAAAGACTGGACTTAGTAAAGGGTTGGATGTAGAAACTGAGAGAAAAGGAGAAATGAAGGGTAAGTCTTAGTTATCTTGGGCAACTTGGAGGAATGGTGGTACCATTTGCTGAAGTGAGGAATGCTGGGGGAGGAATAGGTTTGGAGGGAGGAGATGAAGAATTCTGTTTTAGACACATGGAGGGATAATAAGTGGTATATTGGCCATATTGTTGGGGACCCTGGAGGGTCTGAGTTAGAGCTATAGATGTGGGAGTCATTGGCGGGAAACCATGGTAGTAGATGAAAGAGGAGAGAGAGAGGTGCTGGGAATTTAAAGAGAGGAGTGTGAAATAGTTGTCTTAGAGGTTGACAAAGCAGAATTATTAGGGAAGTTTAGACTTGCCGGGCAGTGTTGCATGCCTTTTGTGGTTTGTGGTTTTGAATCTAAAAAGTGAAATCAGCCTGCTTGTGTGATTTTTTTCTCTAGCAAAACGCAACTGCTTGGGCACAGGAAAGGAAGACAGAGGCAAGCAAGAAAAAAGGCCTATCAGGGGGATAGTTCTGATTCTAAGTTCGTTAAAGAAGGAAGTGAGGACAAGAGGAGGGTAATGGATAATGGAAAAAAATGGTGAGGTGACTGAATTGGGAGCCTTGCTGAGGTAAAATGACTGTTGGGAGTGAAATTATGAAGGTAAACAGATTTCTGGAAGGAAAGTAGAATGTTTGAAATCTGGTTTGGGAGGTCATGCAACTACTGGTGATGACAAGGATCATGTTTTGACCTTGTGGGTTTTTATTGTGGGGTGGAGGAAGAGATCGGTGGTGAAGAGGACGGGAACTGATGGATGACCCACCTGGATGTTGAAATGAGACAGAAGCCGGGGCGGGGGTGGGGGCACAGTGAGGCAGGAGCTGTCTGCAGGGGGAGGGACCGGAGATCAGTAGATGATGCTTGTGAGGGGCAGTGGGCAGTAAAGCCTGGGGTGTGTGTTTCAGAGAAGCTGGGGTCTTGCAAGGAGGAAAAGTGGTTGTGAGAAGAAAGCTTGCTGCTCCTTGAGAGAGAGACCTCAGAGGAGGCAGGGCTATCTAGGGGTAGGCAGGAGGCCGCTAAGGCAAGAAAGGCAAGGAGCTCTCAGAAGAGGGTAATGATGGAGAGGGTTTATTAACTGCGTATCTCATTTCCAGAGAGCATGGTAAGAAGGATTGGGGTGGAATGAAGCCTGTGTCAGATGAGGTGGACGGGCACAATGGGCATGGGGTGCCAGTTGCTTCAGATGTGCTGTCTCCTTTTCTACCCATCTTTCCCCTTTCTACCTTGTTGTATATTTTCCCGAAATTTTCCTAATACAAGACAACTTTAAATCTTATTATATTTGCGTTGGAATGGACTCTAAATATCTACAGAAAGTGAAAATTTTTTGAGGCCACCCTGATCACGTGGTGGTTAAGTTCACACGTTCTGCTTCTCGGCGGCCGAGGGTTTGCTGGTTCGGATCCCGGGCGCGGGCATGGCACCGCTTGGCAAGCCATGCTGTGGTAGGTGTCACATGTATAAAGTAGAGGAAGATGGGCATGGATGTTAGCTCAGGGCCGGTCTTCCTCAGCAAAAAGAGGACGATTGGCCGTAGATGTTAGCTCAGGGCTAATCTTCCTCAAAAAAAAAAAAAAACGAAAGTGAAAATTTTGTAATGTTTTGTGTTCCAAGGCATTGTTTTGTAAGGGGGAGATTGCCTTCTGTCTGGACAGGTTACATGTGAAGCCATCTTTCATTCAGCATCTGTCGCATAATATGGATTGTTCCATTCTGGAAAATACGTTGTGTGGTTGATCTTCCAGGACCCCAGAAAGCTTCATTACAAATCGGATGAATTAGTGATTATGAACTTGCTTTGAAAAGTAGAGTGTGGCTCAATGATTCTGGATCCTTTCTGAGGGCAAGGATCTTATTTTTAGTAAGATTTTTTTTTTTTTAGGAAATTCTTGTTCTTACTTGATCAGTATTCAGTATCCATCAATTGAGAAAATACTAAATGACAAGCTACTGTGAATTCAGAAACACTTCAATGAATTTTGGTTTTATTAATTATAACAGCATTTACATACACTTAAAAAATGTTAGACATTAGTTCAGTCTGTGTTTAGAGCAGGAAAGAAAGTGGTCCTCAGAAAGTAGGATGGGCTTGACGGATTCAGACTCGGCAGAAGCTCTCTGTGCTTCCCCAGGGTCCCAGAGCTCACAGGTGATTAGAAATCACTTCTGTGATGCAGGGGAGGTAAGTGTAAGGCATTATTAATAATTATTCTAATTACATAGGACCAGATGTTGTAATAGTATTCATTTTAAATGGCATTCTGCCAACAGCCAGTGAATGTTTAGAAGTATTTTCCCAATGTACTTATTAAGCCTTTTCTCTCCCATCACTGTAGCTTAGGAAAAGGGGGTTTATTTAGAAACTCAATCCAGATGGTCTCCCACAGCTTGGTAGTCATTTAAAGCCATTAGTATAAACTGTGCAGCCCTGAAATGCACAACCATTTTTGCCAAAGCAATGGAATCCCAATCTGTTGGAGCGTACATTTTTGGAATTATTATCTGATAAATCATAGACTTTCATAACCCATACCCTTTCCTCTCATGAAGTACAGTGTTTTGAGTTGTGAATGTGTTCAATTCAGAGAGCTATGATTTATAAAGAATGGTTAAAGCCCTGGGTTGTTCCACTTGGATTTCATGTTTAATTTGGGGGATGGAGGTAAATTTAGTAGTAACGCTAATAGCTCTTGGTTTTGTAGCCTCCTAGAATTACAGACAGAAAGTTTACTTAGATTTTGTGAGTGGAATTTTATAGTCTTACTTGGCTCATAATTTTTTTGGTGAGGAAGATTGGCCCTGAGCTAACACTGTGCCAGTCTTCCTGTATTTTGTATGTGGAACACCGCCACAGCATGGCTTGATGAGTGGTGTGTTGGTGCATAGCTGGGACCCGAACCTGTGAACCCCTGGCCGCGGAAGCAGAGCATGTGAACTTAACTACTACGCCACCAGGCTGGCCCCTCATAATTTTGTTAATGTTTTTCAGGAAGAAGGATTAAATGAAATCAGCTACATTTTACTGATGTGGGATTAATCCTAGGCAGATCAGTTGCTAAAATAATTGTCTTAGTACCTAACATACGTTGTTTAGTTTAGTCTCACAACTCTCTGAAGAGACTGGCCGTTTTATAGACTACCATCTGTGATTCATACAGATTGACTTGTAACTAAGGGCTCACAGCCAGTACGTGAAACAACTATAATGTTTGTAGTATAGTTTAACCGCCTCAACTTTGTTCCTTTTATCTAGAAGTTTCAAGAATGGCCTTTTGGCTGGTCTCTCAGCATTTAATGTTTGGGAGATCTACCAAGCTGTGGCTAATGAAAACAGCAGAATGGTGGCAGTTACAGGGAACCCAGCCTTGAGGGCAAAGCCCTGTGATTGCTAATGTTAGTACTGGGAGCTCTTGACTCCCCTACCTTGACTATTGTAGTATATTTATAATACAAGTCATTTTGCTTATTAAATGTTTTTCCTAATATGCAGATAAATTTTAGGACTTTTCCACTGCTGTGGATGTTTCCCTTCCTGATTATAAAAGTAATTTACATGTTTATTGTAGAATTTTTAGGAAACTATATAGAACATTAAAATTACCCATAATCCCACTACCGGAGACAACTAGTATATTCCTTATTTATTTGTGAATATTATGTAAACATAGAGTTGATTGATATATTTGTGTCATCTCCCACTATTTTCACTTGACATTTTCTCATGTTATTAAAAGGCCTTAATTCATCATGTCAAATAATTACTTAGTATTTAGCCATATGGATAGATCATAATTTATTTAATTGTTCCCCTCCTTGCATGTTTAGGTTGTTTCTGCAGACTCATAACTGGAGACGTGACATTTAGATGCTCACGTTATACTTAATCTTGGGTTTCAGAGTGAGGATGCTGTTTTCAGAGAGGATGAAGGAGAGGTGAGAGGAGGTAGTGGAAAGAGATGGCACAAGAGTGGCCTTGGCTCTTTCCCCTATTCTCTTATGACCAACACAAAGTTCTTTTCTTTAATATAAAAAAGCTCCTTTGACACCGAAAACTACTTTTGTTTATAGACCTGACTGCATCTTTTATTTCTTTAGGAATAGATCCGTGGAAATTGAGTTTTTGTGTCAGAGGCTCTTGATGAACAGGGCCAGGTTGTCTTCCTGGAATGTGCTAATTTTCACTTCCATCAGCGGCGGGAGGAGAGTTCAGGAGTCATTCGACCTTGAGCTGCGTTGAGCACAGTCTTTTTTAACTATGCAAACATTTTCTTATCTTAATTAGCATGTCTCAGGTTACTATTGAGATTGGAACTTATATTTGATAAGTTTAATAGCCATTTCATGTCTTCTGAGTCGTCTATTCATTTCCTTTGCTCATTTTTCTGTCAGAACTAGTAATTTTCTTATCAGTTTGTATGAGAGTTCTTTCTAATAGGATGTAATTTTTTGTCAAGGATTTCTTCTTAAAGGACTAGCTACTAGCTATAAAATGTAATTATCAGTCTGGTTTTCTGGTGTCAAATAGCCCATGTGATTTTTTTTTTTAGGGTCTGATTATATGCTGACTGTTTATAAGTCTAAGTAATTCAGTTTTTTATAATCTGTCTATTTTGAGTAATGTTAATAATGTGTTTTGTCTTTCCAGAAAGAAGAAATGATGTAAACCATTCACTATCCAAACTTTAAGGTCGAAGGTGGGAAGGAAGGTCAGGAAGAACATGGGCTGGCCAAATATTTTTCAGAGAGGAACTCTGCTGTCCCGGTTCAGCCATCACCACATCGTCGTTTTCCTGCTCACCTTCTTCAGGTAAGTGGGTTGCTAACTCTGATCTCCTGTTATTTTTGTTTTTTCCTTTTGAGGGAGATATTTATTGCACGGCCAGTGGTTAATGCAGTGATTGGCATGGGCTTATCGTGAAGTAGGCTGTTCTTCCTCTTACTCTTTTTGATAGCTCTGTGCAGGAGTTCTCGAGGGTTATTTTGCCCATATTTGGCAATGTCTGGAGACATTTTTGGTTGTCATGGTGGGGGATGAGGAGTTACTTGCATCTAGGGGGTAGAGACCAGAGATACTGCTAGCCATCCTACAATGCACAGTACAGCTCCCCACAATGGATAATTTGGGGGGCCCCAAACGTCAATAGTGCTGTGGTTGAGAAACCCTGATCTAATATAAAGTCCTTTATTTGTTAAAACGAGGATCGTGAGAGGAAAGGATGTGCATATTCAGGGAAGGCCCTATGCCTCCTGGAGCAGTAAAGATGGCACGAGACAATTGTGAGCGGCTGGGAACTCACATGAGATCCCTGAGTGTCAGCAGCCCTGAGTAGGCAGCACCGCTGAACCAACGTCCATGTTTTTGGTTCTGTGGCCTTCAGTGGCTCTCTTTAGTGGTCTCTAGATGACATGAACCAGGCTATTTTGGTGTTAGGGGCATGTTATTCATAACCTTGTGACTCAACTATTTTGATTATTTCTTCTGAGTAGATTTTGTTTATTATTAATCTTTATTGAAGGCACCACAAATGATGATGATTTTTTTTTTAAGGCAGAAACTAGGAAAATGGTTCTCTAGTTATGTGAGAGTCGATAGGCAATTTTGGGCGCTTGGTTTAGGGGATATCTATTTGTAGGGGTTGGGGGAAGCATCAATATGAGGGAAAGACAGGACCCAAGGCAAAAGCTACTGAGTGGCTAGTGCAATGAGTGGCCACTAGTCACTAAAGACTTAAAATTCTTTACAGAACCGCAACCATGATTTAAAGTGGGTTGGGATCACTCGTGTCTCCATCTTCTAGGTCTGGGGATAAGTTATGAGTGAACATGGGGGCGCATATTGAAGAAGACTACTTAATTTTTTCTTTTGCTTAGCAGAGGCTGTTTCAATTGGTAGCTCTTGTAAAGCAGTGCTTTTTCCTTCTTTTTTTTTTTTTTTTAAAGAGAAGAATTCTAAAATTGAATAAAACAGACGGGAATATATCTGTGAGTTTATTGAATGTCGTTTTCTTTGCTGTTCCTTCAGCTGTGTTTCTTCCCTCTTTTGTAGTTATTCGTTGCTCCACGCGTCAAGAAAAACTTTTAGCAATGTCAAGGTCAGCATCTCTAAGCAGTGGACCCCAAGTGCTCTTAACAAATCAGTTGAACTGCCTGTAGAGGTGAGCAGAACAGTGCTGGGATGGGCTTAAGAAGGGAACCACGCCCACCCCTAAATTCTTCAGTTCTGTTTTGTTTGTTCATCCACTTAGGACTCTGAAATGGCTTACTGTTTCCTATGGCCTAAAATCCAACTTTCTGCCCGATTTCTTAGCTTGCCCTGATTCAGGCCTGTTTTACCATTCCAGCCAGCGTATTTCTCACTGTTTGGAAATCACACAATTCTGGTTGGGCTGTTTTTTTTGTTGAGTTTCACAAGTAGTGTGCTCCTTTCTGCCTTTGAGATTTTGCTCATAATCTTTTGTATCCTCTTTCTCCTTCTTTCCACCCATCTCAATTTTGCTTTTCCCTTTGTGTCAAGATAAAAATACCACTTTTTCTATTAAATAGTTTTTTTCCAGCTTCTGCTGATTTTCCTTCAGAACCGTGCACATTGTGTGTTACATAGTTTAATGTCTCGGTGTTTACATACTTTCTAATGGGTTCATTTGTTTGTATCTTGCTTAGGAGTCTTGAAGTCAGGGAGTGTGTATCCGAGTTCCTTGTATTCGTTGTGGACCAAGTAAATTCTCTGATGACTGTTTGGAATGGGGGTGCTATTCCTTATAGTACCCCATCTCAATACACAAATCCACTCCATTCAATCTTTACCACGTTATTCAAGTTCTACATATGGAATTATGGGTATATATTAATACTCTTAGCATGTTTTTTATTTCTTAAAAATTATTTCCCCTATTTGGACCAATTCAAAGTTGACAGAGATTTGAAGGTTGTATAAATATCCCCCAAAAATGTAAATAAGTTATCCAGTCAATTGCTTATTGAGGATCTGTCTTGCATAAACACTGTTCTAGGCACTGAAGATACGAAAAAAAAAGAGCCTGTCCTCAAGGAGCTTACATTCTAGTGGAGATGCTCTTGAACAATTTTTCTCAAATTTAAGTTATCGGGAACTTGTAAAAGGAAAGGTGTTAAGGGTAGAGGGCTAAATTTCAGACTGAGTCTTGACTCACTGTGCTGTGTGCACAGTGAGTGTGTCTAAATGATCCTTAACTGACTTGTCACAAACCTTCCAGATGGGGTGGCCTTAGAGAGTCATGCACCTAACCTCGCAGCCAGGATAAAATCTTTCTTTGTCATTATTGAAGGATGGCCACCCAGCTTCTGTTTTAACTCTTCTAGGGAGAAGGAACTCCCTGTTTTCTAAGGTGGGCAATTCCATTTTTACTCAACTCTCGTTGTTGGGAAGCTCTTTCTTATATTGAGGTAGAAGTGTTCTGCAGTTTAATTTTGATCTTGGGTTTTATCCTGGGCCGTGCTTACTAAGTCGATTCCTGCTGCATGAGAGCCTGTTGACTATCTGAAGGAAACCTGTCTCCCTAAGTTTCTTTCATTGAGGCCCAACATCCCTGGTCCTTCACCTGTAGTTTAGTGATACCGAGCACTAACTGTGGTGTTTCAGGTACAGTCTGACCAATGTATAGAACAGTAGGATTTGAGTTAGGCACTAAATGTCTGGTTATACTGCCTAAGGCTGCCTTTGCTGTTTCGGTGACTGAGTTGGGGATCCCCAGGACCACCTCCAGGTTTGATGATTCACTAAGAGGACTCATCATATAGTCATACGCACAGCTGTGGTTTGTTACAGTGAAAGGATACAGAGCAGAATCAGCAAAGGGGCAAAAAAGTGGGGCGAATTCTGGAGGCACCCAGGTGGAGCTTCCCGGAGTGCTCTCCCGGTGGAGTCCCATAGGACGTGCTTAGTTCCTCCAGCAACGAGTTGTGACAACACGTGTGAAATGTTGTCTACCAGGGAAGCTTATGAGAGACTCAGTGCCCAGGGTTTTTATTGGGGGCTGGTACCCTCTGCCTGGCATGTACCAAAATTCCAGACTCCCAGAAGGAAAGCAGGTGTTCAGCATAAACCCCATTGTTGGTATAACCAGTTTAGGCACAGCGAGCCACTCATAGCAGAGACGGTTGGAACCCTCCCGAAATCCAAGTTCCCAGGTCAGCCTTTTTGAAGGAGAGCAGACTCAGGCCTGCCAGCTTAACTCTTTCCTGCCAGTGACCATGTCACATTATTAGCTCTTCTTGGACTTGAGTTAACTTTTCTGCCTAGCTGCTTATTTCCTTACTCTGATTGCTGCCAAAATAGGTTCCACCATTCCGGTTTTTTGGAACTACAGATTAAGTAGTTTGGACGGACTGGTCATATAGATGGCAAGCTCAGACTTGTCCTGGAGATCTTTGTATTTCTGGACCTGTCCTGATGGAGAGCAGTGCTGACTCTCTGTTCCTTTCTTTAGACTTTAAAGTCTAGGTGTTTTCTTTCCTGAAGCCTGTTGCTGGGAGTGGAGTGGCTGGGGTGACGCGTACCTTTCTCTCCTCCTGTGCTTTTGGGTCTGTAACTGTCTGAACTCTAGTTTCCCTTTGAGACTTTCTTGTTCAGAATGGAAAGGTTCTTAGAACCAGAAGATTATGTAGAATTAGTCTGAAAAATGTTTTGTTAATATATTGTTAAACATTTCTTAAGTGTCCTAAATAGCATCCTTGAAACATATTCATTATAGCTTTCATTTTTATGCATAGCTATCTTAGATACTTTACAAAAAGAACTAAGCAGACATAGTCTCTTTACCTCGAGAATTTATAAGGGATCCCACTGACGTGGATAGACATTAAAAATAGTAAGTGAGCATAACATAAAATCTCTGTTTATAGATAAAAAAAGAGGTAATGGTTAAATCTAATATTTGAGAACAACTTGCCTGAAAGCTATAAACAAAAATTTGTTCTGTTAAATTAAAAAACCTTCCCTCTTCAGACGCACAGCCCTTGCATGAGACTAGTGTAAGAATCTGAAGTTCTCTCCGGGAGAAGGAAGCAGGGTTCCGGGTGTTCTCAGCGCTCCAGCGCAGCCTCGCTCTCAGTAGATTCTCACCTGCCCCAATACCACTCACCTTCGGCAGAGGCCCCCTGACCCCGCACATAGGTCTGCTTTACGTCATCCTCCGCTCACCACTTCAGGAAGCTTCCGTGTCGGTAGTCCCCCCACCCCCACGCATAGCCCTGTGACAGAGCTTCTCACTTAGGAAACCCACACTGACCTTGTGTGTGCACATAAGTTCACCCTTCCAGGAAGTGCCCCAACGTGTAGCTGTGGTAGTAGCTTACTCCAGCCCCTCCCCGCACGACACAAGAAAACCCTGCAGACAGACAGGCCAGTACCTTCACGGGATAATCGTGCATGCGTGCAGCCCGCTCGAGTCACTGTCATGTGTGGGATTTTAGCATGTTAAAGTCATTTCATTGGTGACTTTCATTACTCACCGGGTGATTCATTCTGTACTCGGACCGTTTTCACCTCCTGGTGTAGTCGTCCCTATCTGAGCTGTGTGATTGAAGTCAGTTTGCTTCACTAGGCTTTCTTCTGTTATCCTATTTTGGAATCTTTTTGTTAGTCCTGCTTTGTTTTTTCAGGTTTGGGTTTTGTTTTGTTTTCTACGTGTTAAGTAGGCAACCCAAAGTATATTTCAGCTGAATCCTGGCAGTGAAGCAGAAGAAAGCTGTTTAAAATCTGTCAGTTCTGGTGAAAGGCAGACAGCAGGGAGTTTGGGTGACTTCCTGAGAGACAAGAAGAGCCCCTGAAGCTTGGAGCCGCTGCTTGAGGCCCCATCTCTAGCCGGCATTGGCGTGTGCCTGGCAGTGCTCAGTCCTGGGTGCTCACGTGCCCGGATGGCGTCAGGGTCAAAGTTTGTGGTCTGAGGGAAAATGTGGCAAAATAATTCTGACTGGGGAAAGTAGGGCCCAGTTGGCTTGTTGAATGCTGATCCATCTCCGCTGTGGGAGCTGCCTGCTTGTCTCTCTTGACAGCAGGATGTGAGGTGGTGTTAGAGGAGAAGACCGATGCTGTAAGCCTCACAGAAGCCGGTCCCAATACTTGACAGTCAGACTTTATTCTTTTTTAATTTGGGGATTTTACTTTCCATTGAAGATTTTTTTATTACTGATTGTGATTTTTCTCTTTCATATTCTAAAGTTCAAATTTCTTTTCTGTAACAACCCATCTCAGTTACCATTTAGTTTAGCGGTTCTCTAACTTTTTGGTCAGAGGATGCCAAAGAGCTTTTGGTGGTAGTGGTTTATACTTCTAGATACTTACTGTTTTAGCAGTTCAAACTGAGAAATTGAAAAATACATTGGTTTTTTTAGTTATTTTTAAATGAATTAAATAAACCCATAGCATGTTAACATAAATAACATTTTTTGAAAAATGACTTATTCAAAACAAAATCACTTAGTGAGGAGAGTGGCATTGATTTACATTTTTGCAAATCTCTTCATGTCTGGCTTAATGGAACACAAGTGGATTTTCATATCCGCCTCTGAATTCAGTCTCTTGCAACATGATCCTTTGAAGTATATGAAGAGAATTTGGCCTTTCACAGACACACGGTGGAAAAGGGAGAAGTATTTTAATAGCTTTTCAGTTAATTGTGGATATTTGTCTTTGATACTACATGAGAATATGACAAGTGGCGATTTCTTAAAGGTTAGTTGTAATGTGGAATCTGAAACTTTATCAATTAACTTTTTATACCCTTACATTAAGAGCCATTGTCTATCTTGTACTTTGAGTGGATCCTGAAGTGACAGGTTCGTCTGTTCTTTTTTGAGGAAGTATCTGCCAGATACCCAAATCTGGATAAGTATAGCTTGTCCGTCAATCATTCTTTCAAGTAAGAATGACATTCTAGCTTGCAGCTCACACAACTGCACAAGTGCTTTTCCTCATGACCCCCGTGTGATCCTGGTGTGCAGAGTACTTCGTGCATGTTCTCCATTGTCACATAGATTATTAGAAATAAGGGTCCTCAGGGGCCAGATTTTATAAAATTAATAATTTTTACTGCTTGACAAATAATTATTGAGCATCTGGCATGTGCCAAAGACATTCTTAAGTGAAATTGGCTTTTTTTTAACTGTGAGCGTGACCACAGAGAACATGATGGTTAATAGTCCCATTTGGTGTAACTGCCTCGATTCATGCTAAGGTGCAGGAGTTTTACCCACCACGGCTTTTGCACCATCAGTGGAAAAGTTAAAGGGAAGAAGCAAATAGCACTTGAGTATTATGCAAATAGTTTTGCATGGTGTGTTTCCTTCTCTACGAAGTGCAGGTTTGCTTTTTGCCACGTCACCAGGTCTCTGTGAGGGTGGGTGGAGGTTGTACGAGAAGGTGCTTCGAGGAGTGGAGAGTGCTGCAGAAGTGGGCATTGACTTGTCCCTGTGTTGCCGTAGGTCTGGAATAGCAACCATTTGTTTCCCAGTGCGGAGGAAGCCACTCTTTTCCTCGGAACTCTGGACACTATTTTCCTCTTCTCCTATGCTGTGGTAAGTGTTAGAATTCTGGGGTTTTCAAGTTGAGGAAAGATGTAAAAGGAAATGGCTCCAAAGCTTAGATAGTTCAAGTTCATAAGGGATTTTGAATTTGCTGCCTGAGGAATGTTCAGTATTGCTGAAGTGTATATTTTGTGTCCTTCCCATCCACCCACCCATCCATTCATTCATTCATCCATTTGACGAATATTTACTGAGCATCTGGCATGTGCCGGGGACTTTTATAGTCGATGGGAATTCATCAGTGAGCAACACAGGGAAAATCTCTACCTTTGTAAAGCTTATGTTCTTGGGGTGGGAGCTAAGGGAGACAAGCAGTAACACAATGCTATAAATAAGTAAATTACAGAGTGTGTTTGAAGGTGGTAAGTGCTGTGGAGAAAATAAAGAGGGAAAAGGGACTAGATAGCCCCTGGTGGGGGCTGTAATTGAAGTAGGGTGGCTGGGGAAGACCTCGTGTAGGAGGGGGCATTTGAACAAAACCTGCGGTGGGTAAGTCAGGTCCGTGTGACTGGAATAGGGTGGCAGTAAGTGAGGCCAGAGCAGCGCTGGGGCTCAGATCTGCAGGGCGTTGGTGCCTTTCTCATCGCTTTAGCTTAACGCTGAGTGAGATGGGAGCCCTGGAAGGTTGTGTGCAGAGAAGAGCCAGGATCTGCCTTCTGTTTGGGCAGGCGCACTTGCTGCTCCAGGAGATGGAGCTGCAGGGCAAAGGCAGAAACAGAGAGGTCACTGTTAGGCTATTCCCGTGTGAAGGTGAAAGGTGATGGTGGCTTGGGTTCACGGTAGAGGTAAGAGAGGTGGGGAGAAGGAGATTTTAGTTGTGTTTTGAATGTGGAATATAAGAGAAAGAGAGGTATCAAAGACAGCTGCAGGGCAGAGGTGTCACGGCAGGGTGGAAGACCACGGGAAGCGGAGGCTTTGGGGAAATTGCTGTTGCACACGTTGCATTTGAGAGATACCTGGTATTGCACAAATGGTGAAGAGCAGACCCTGGGTTGTATGAGTCTGCAGTTCAAGGTAGAGGGTCAGGCTGGAGGTACAAATTTCAGTGTCCTTAGCATAGAGATGGTTTTCAAAATTATGAGACAGGATGAAATCATCAAGAGAGCAGGTGAGGACAGAGGAGAGGTGTGAAGACTGAGCTATGGCTCAGTATTTAGAGCAGGGAAGATGAAGAATGGGCAAGGGTGGCTGAGATGGGGCAGTAAAGGAGGAGAACCGTGAGAGGCTGGTGTCCCAGGAACCACTCTGGGGGCAGGGGCTGGTTCTCTGTCTGAGGCTATCTTCTCCGCTTGCGCAGCCCGCGTTTCTGTCTGGTTGTGGGGAACGTCTGTGGTGGCTGCTGAACTGGAGCTGTGGGACCAATGGTGGCAACAGCTGGAACTGTGCACTGTGGGAGCAGTCTGACCTTTTCTCCTAGCGTCTATTTCCTCTCTTTAAAAAATTTAATTCTGAATGTCCAGGTGATGTGGAATACTGGGTGAAAGTCTCAAAGTAATTGCTAAGTGTTTGTCTGGGTAATTATTGGAAAATCTTTTCTTCAAAGAGGCGACTTACAGAAACAGTTGGAGCGGCTCTTAGATGATTTAGCCTAGCTTCTCACCCGGGACAGTTTCTGTGCAAAGTCCCAGTACACTGCCATTCAACTTGGGCTGGAGTGCTCCCTGCGAGCCTTCTCTGTGAGCCTTTCATGGGTATTTTAAGAGGCAGTGTGGTCCAGTGGGAAGACCAGCTCTACCACCGTCAACTAACTGTGTTAAACTTGGTTTTAAAATGGAGTTTTAAAACTTGGTTTTAACCTTTTTAAGATACTTAGTTTCCTCATCTATAGAGTTGAGATGATAATACCCATTTATAGGATTAAGTAGATTTAGGACATAGGAGATAAGTGCCATGAAAAGTCAGTGGTTATTCATTCTTTATATTGAGCTTCATTTCCTTCTGTAACTTACAGGTATTTGGAGCAACATGGAATAAATTGATTCCCTAAACTGAAACATAATTGAGAGATTTTCTTCACCCCCTTTAGTATGCATAGCATTAGACCATGTGAGTGGCAGCTATAGAATATAGGATCTAATACTCACAGATGCCTCTTTTTTGTTTGAGGAAGATTGGCCGTGAGCTAACATCTGCCACCAATCCTCTTTTTGCTGAGGGAGATTGTTGCTGAGCTAACATCTGTGCCAGTCTCTATTTTGTATCTGGGATGCTTGCCACAGCACGGCTTGATAAGCAGTGCGTAGGTCCATGCCCAGGATCCAAACCAGCGAACCCCGGGCCACCGAAGCAGAGCGTGCAACCTTAACTGCAACACTACCGGGCCAGCCCCACACATGCCTCTTTTGAGGTAGTAAAGCTTAATGAGGGAAAGACATTTATTATGACATTTTTCGTCTAAATTTTCTCTAATACAGTCAATTTATTAGAAACAAAACAATTTAGGTTTTTAGTCAAGACGTTTATTCATTTTACGTATTTGTGGAAGGGACCTAGAGTGTGTCATCTTAGCTCTTTAGTCTGCCTTGCTGCCATGACCTCAGCATTTTAATTCCTGCCACTCAGTGGGAGGAGAGCAGAAGGCAGGACATTTGTACCTGTCTCCAGCTCATTATTATACCTCCCTGCTCTCCCTGCCTGTCAGATTAAACAGGCAACACATGTGCCCTAGCAGCTTCCGTTCCGCAGGACATGTAGCACATCTTAATACGAGTGCAGATGGCTAAGAGGACTCCCTCTGGGAAAGCAGATAACTGGTGTTAGGAGTTAATCTATTCTAGAAAATGAAATAGATTTGTGTGCTCATTTTATTAGAATAATTCTTGTGGGTTTTTTCTTTTTTCAGTCTCCTTCTAGGCAGTTAGGGGATCAAGTGGAACCAGAGTTTGCAGTGAATTACCACATCTCGGTGCCTGAGATGTTTATAGCACAGTGGGCGGAAGCCCATTGTCATTTCATGAAACTTTTGTGAAACTGATGTAGACAGCTAGTCTAGGCGTGATGTTTGTCACCCTAGTGTTGTGTTTGCCCATCTATTTTATGATGCATCTTATTTTTTTCAGGCTGTGTTGTTGTTCAGAACTGTAAAATAAAGTGCTTTATTTTTAGGGCCTTTTCATCAGTGGTATCGTTGGGGATCGGCTTAATTTACGATGGGTCCTATCTTTCGGCATGTGCTCTTCTGCGTTAGTGGTAAGTTGGAAAGGTATTTATTATTATCATCATTATTATTATTATTTTGATCAGGCATTTTAGAATCCAGGTAACCCCCTACTTCTGTATGTAGAACAGAATAGTAAATTAATCTTCAGTTTTCTAATCCCCCGTGTGCCTCTTCAGTTAGGGGTCTTTTTAAAGTACAGTTCCAGATCAGGCCCCTTCTTGACCCTCCGTCACCAGCGAAGTCTAAGCATAAACAGCATGACACTCAGTGCTCCCTGGAGCCCGTCCCAGCCCCTCTACAATCGTGTCCATCACTATGCTTCCCCACTTTGCTCTGGCCCAACTCACCTATTTTCCCTGGCCCTAGCGGATGCTGCTCCTTTCTCCCTCACTACTTTTGTTCCTGCTCTTCTCCTGCCTTGAATGGCCCTCTTTGCAGCTCTCCATAGTCTGACTCAGCTCTTCTCAACCAGCTCGAGTCTCCTTCAAATCACTGGCCAAATGACACTTCATTCATGATGCCTTCCTTCGTTGACCCTACTCCTGGGGTAACCCGTCCCTCTTCTGAGCTTTGGCGCCTGTGTTTCTTTGAAGGCACTTTTATTGTCTGTTACTTAGCCTACTTCTTTCTGTCTCTGTCTTGCTTGGGAGTCTGTAGCATCATGGTTACGATCAGGGACTTCCGGAGACCTGGGCTGCCTGTGTTTTAGTCCTTCTGCGATTTCCTAGCCATGATTTCTCTGCGCTTCAGCTTCCTCATCTGAAAAGTCCGTCCTCCTGGGGTTGTGGTGCGGGCTCTCTGAGTTACTGTGTGTAAGGCGTTTGGAACAACGCCTGGCTAATTAAGTGCCATGGAGGGCACATCCGATCTTGAATCAGCTCTTTTTTGCTTACTAGTTTCTAGTGAGGAATTTTTGGTGATGGAGTGAAAGCATGGGTTTTAGTTAGACCCTATTTATTATTGCTTCTCAGTGTCTGCCATTTGAGCGATTGAAGCAGTTTATTTATTCATGAGCTGGTCACCCACACATATATACATACTATTTTAAAACATGTTTATGCACTTTCTTGGTTTTTTTTTTACATTTTTTGAAAAATTGAAGTATATACATAAACCCACCCTTTTGGTGTATAGTTTTGACAAACGAGTGTAGTTGTGTAACTACCACCCCTCCCTTGTTCCCCAGCCTCTGGCAACCGCTGACCCTTTTACAATCCTTATAGTTTTGCTTATTCCAGAATGTCATGTGGCTGGAATCATACAGCATTATACATACCATTCAGCCCATGCAGAATATTCCCAGAATAAAATGTCCACTCGAGCAAAATGCCTAGAAGAAAGCAGCCACTTGAATGCTGCTGAATTACTGAGCAGGTCACAAGTCACACTGATTCCCTTAGAGCCGCAGGGATAACAGTAGCTGGCACTTCCCGGTCCCCACGATGTGCCAGTCCTGTTCTGACCGAATTTACACACGTGAACCCAGTCCCCACAGCAGTCCTCCACAAACACGGGCCCGAGGAAGAGGAAGTAGATGTAAAACGAGGGCTTAACTTTTTAGAGCTGAAGACGCAGCCTGGAGGGTTGATCATCAGTGAGTTTTGTGTTGTTTGACATCTCTGCCTTTCTGGCCGGTGGCGGTTTGGTGATTGTCTCACTCACCCGGTGCTGCTCCGAGCAGGAGCACCCGAAGAGTCAGCCACACGTCTCTTAGCCCCTAGACATTTGAATGTGTCCTTCACGTGGTCACTTCACGCGGGTGTGTAAGTGGTCGGCAGCTAGGTGTGCTAAGCACGTGCGTGTGGGTGTTACATGTCCCTTTCTCTCTTCTTCTCTAAGGTGTTTGTCTTTGGCACTCTCACGGAATGGCTGCACTTCTACAGCATGGGGCTCTACTGCTGCCTGTGGATTGTGAACGGCCTGCTGCAGTCCACTGGTTGGCCCTGTGTGGTTGCTGTTATGGGCAACTGGTTTGGGAAAGCTGGGTATGCCACTTCCTTCCTCTTTCATTTCTCCAAGTGTTTTAATATTGGCTTATTGAGACTTGTCAAAGTCAATTAGCTGGATCCCTTGGACACTGCCAACGTCATCCCTCTAGTTTAGAAAGTTAGAAAAGCTCAGGGAGAGACAGTTCCCCCTCAGAGTGTACTGGAAATGGTGCGGACCTTAGAGATGACCATACACAGACGATCTAGCCCCAGCAGACACTTGCATCACACCCTCCCAGCCATGGTCAGATTTCAAGTGTGCTAAGACAGTACGTCTCAGTTCTTTTTTAATCTCCCCTTTAGAGAACATGAATATCTCATGTGCCACCCCATCATTTATCTCCTGTGGGTTTTGCCTTCTCTTACCTTGTTTAAGACTCTATGATCTAGTTTAACCTTCTTACATTAAATAAAGATAGGGAAACTGAGCCCAAAAGCTATCTGTGGAACTTGCCTAAGGTCAGCCAACAAAGGCAATAAGATGCAGATGAAGAATGCCAGACTTTGGAGTTAGTTAAATTGGATATTTCCCCCCTAAACCTTCAAATAGTTATTAGATTATATTTGAGTTTGCGTGTGGGGTGGGCCAAGGCGTAAGGGTGGGCACCTGCTAGGCCACCCAGGAAGAAGAGCCATGGTTAATTTTCAGGTAGGAAAATAAGTTGAGATGCCCAAAGACGGGGCATTGTCGTTTATCATTGTTTGTGACACTCTGATTTCAGGAATATTAATTAGGATGCCTGTCATTTTTGCTGCGTAACTATTTATGTGTTGTGAGATGTACCTTTACTTTGCCGATGGCTCTGTCTTTTTAGTTTACTCTCTTATGTAGGGACCCGTGTATGCATCAGTCATGATCCACCCACCACGGTGAGGAGTGCATGCTCTGACTCACTCCTCTCGGTTTTCCAGCTTCCCCTTTTTCATAATGGGAGTAATGAAGCTCGCTGACTAATGCTCTGTAACGCTGTGAAAGTTCACCTGTAAAATGTCTTGTGGTTGGAATAAGCCCCACTTAATGAGAATGCTCTTGATTATATTTCATTGTGCTAGTGAGTTCTCTTTCACTCTAGCATCATTGGTTTAACAGAAATGATTTAAGAGATACTCATTCCCCTATAATCCCTTAGTTTTCTTTGGGAGTAGGTGATACCGTCTGCTCATGGGCTGTTTATTTTTAAGATTTTTAGGGGCTGGCCCCATGGCTGAGTGGTTAAGTTTGCATGCTCCGCTTCAGCAGCCCAGGATTTCGCCAGTTTGGATCCTGGGCGTGGACATGGCACCACTCATCAGGCCATGTTGGGGTGGCGTCCCACATGCCACAACTAGAAGGACCCACAACTAAAATATACAACTATGTACTGGGGGGATTTGGGGAGAAAAAGCCAAAAAAGAAAAAAATTTTTTTAAGGTAATTTTTTTCCATGTGTGAGTTTTGAAGATTATACAAAGGCTGCTTGTTTATTGTAGACAAACCGGATAATATAAATGAACAAAGAGAAATAAAGGCAAAACCACTTGAAATCCTATCGCTCAAGGATAACCACTGTGACATGCATCAACTTGAGATAATTCTTATCTGAACTTTTACAGATTGGATGACACTGGGTATTGGATAGCAGTGACTGGACAGGCTGACCACTTCATTGTTTCTGTGGATCAGTCTCAAAGGAAAAAAAAATTCAAGAAAACCATTATGGCTTCATCTTGAAAGACACACTTTTTTCTTAGCCGAGTAACACTTGTAAGTGAAACCGATGGTGTGCTGCTTGAGACACAGTGACTTCCTGTGAAACGTAACAGTAAATCACAAAGTGCCAGTAAAACTATAACCACTTGAAATCTCGCTTATTTTTAGCCAGTTTCTTGTAAAATCGTGTCTTTGGTCAGCCAGTGTTACTCAGAGCCTGACCTTCCAACTCTTCCCCCCAGGGCCCTCTTGATAGGTCTCAGGTATTTTAGAGGATGGGGACATTTTAGCAGGGGAGAACCGTAGAGATTAGTTCAAAGCATTTGTTTTCCAGGTGAAAAAAGTTGGGGACACTGGGCCTTAGCTGGGACTTGCTTGAGATTACTCAGCTGGAAGTGGCAGGGTAAGGACTTTGGGACAGACTTCATATTTCACTGGACAGTGTTATCTCCCTGTTCATTTTTTAGATTCCTTCTTTCTTTTTTTTGAGGAAGATTAGCCCTGAACTAACATCTGCCGCCTGTCCTCCTCTTTTTGCTGAAGAAGACTGGCCCTGAGCTAACATCTGTGCCCATCGTCCTCTGTTTTATATGTGGGACGCCTACCACAGCATGGCTTGACAAGCGGTGCGTAGGTCCGAACCTGGGATCTGAACCAGCGAACCGCTGGCCGCCAAAGCAGAACACGGGAAGTTAACTGCTGTGCCACCGGGCCGGCCTCTCTTTCTGTCTTAAAGAAGTTATAAAAATGTTTAACGGCTGGCCCCGTGGGCGAGTTGTTAAGTTTGCACACTCCCTTTTGGCAGCCCAGGGTTTCACTGGTTCGGATCCTGGGCCTGGACATGGCACCTCTCATCAGGCCATGCTGAGGCGGCATCCCACACAGCACAACCAGAGGCACTCACAGCTGGAATCTACAACTACATACCGGGGTGTCTGTGTGTTGGGGGAGGGGAGGATGGCGCGTGCTTTGGGGAGAGGAAGAAAATAAAAAAGATTGGCAACAGATGTTAGCTCAGGTGCCAGTCTTTAAAGAAAAAAAAAATTCTAAACCTAACAGTGTGTTATTACTATGTATCAAGTAGAATAAAATGTAAATTTAAGCATTAAAAAAAGTAACTTTTCCTACCTCCTTTTTCTTTCACCAGCTCTACTGTCATTGCCTGCGTTCAGAGCTAATCATTTTTCTCCAGGACTGTTGTAACAGCTAGTTTCCTTTCCACCAGACTCCTCACCTACCCATCCATCTTTTTTTTAATGGCTTTATTGCAGTATACAATAAGCCGCACATGTTTAACATGTACTATTTGATGAGTTTTGGCATGCATACACCCGTAAAACCATCATCACAATTAAGATAATAAACATGCCCATCCCCCCAAAAGTTTCCTCACGCCCCTTGGTAATTCCTCCCACCACTCCCGCCGCCACCCCCACCCTCCCACTGCCATCTCTAGGTAACTACTGATTTGCTTTCTGTCACTTTAATTTGAATTTTCTAAAATTTTATATAAATGGCATCATACAGTGTGTACTCTCTTGTCTGTCTTCTGTCAGTCTGCCTGATTATTTCGAGATACATTTATGTATATTGATACTTCATTCCTTCTTATAGCTGAGTAATAATCCATTGTACCACAATTTATCTGTTCCCCTGTTGATGAACATTTGGGTTGTTTTCAGCTTTTGGCTGTTACAAGTAAAGCTACTGTGAACATTTGTGTCCAAATCCTTGTATGGACGTAAGCTTTCACTTGCCAGCATAAATGCCTTGGAGTAGAATGGCTGGGTCCTATGGTAGGTGTCTGTTTATCTTTTAAGAAACTGGAAATCTCTTCCAAAGTGGTTGTACCATTTTACGTCCCCCCCCGCAGAGTGTGAGGTTCTAGCTGCTCTGTAGCCTTCCAGCACTCGCTGTACTTGGTCTTTGTTGACGTTAGCTAGTCTAGTGGGTGTGTAGTGATCCCTCATTTGGTTTTAATTTGTATTTCCCTAGTGTCTGATGATGTTGAGCATCTTTACATGTGCTTATCTGCATCTTATTTTTGTGTGTGTGAAGTATCTCTTAAAATCTTTTGCCTCCTTTTCAAAAACATTTTATTTGAGATGATTTTAGATTCATGCTCTTTAACATGTTATTGCATTGTCTGTTTTCATATTATTGAGTGTTGAGAGTTCTTTATATTCTAGATGCAAGTCTTTTTGTCGGACAAGTGATATGCAAATATTCTCTCCCAATCTGTGGCTTGTCTTTTTTAATTCTCTTGACGGTGTCTTTCAGTGAGCCTCAAATTGAACTTCAGTATAATAAAATCTTAGAGTTAGAAGAGACGTGGTGTTTTGCCATTTGGGTGTACTTGAAAAAACCCTTAAAAGACAATGTTGATTCTTTACAGTGTGAACTTTCACTGTTTTGGCCATTTTGTGTTTGAAGTGCACACAGAACCCCTTCTGATTCTGTTGTCCTGTTTTCTCCTGTTCCCATCTTAGACGAGGAGTTGTTTTTGGTCTCTGGAGTGCCTGTGCTTCAGTGGGCAACATTTTGGGAGCGTGCCTAGCTTCTTCTGTTCTGCAATATGGTTATGAGGTAGGTATTTCTTTCTAGGTTTTTCTTGAGGTATATATATTTTGTTTTTTAGGAAACAATACTGCGGCCGTTTAAAACTACCTAGAGCTGCGTTTGGGTGGGGCAAAGCTTGTATTAAAAGTGGACAAACTTTTGATAAATTCAAACACATAAAAAATTATTCATGGGAAAACACCCAAGTCTATATAATCAACCAGGAAAAAGTACTTGCAACTCTTCACAGATAAAGAGCTAATCTCCCTAATAGATAAAGAGCACCTGCAAATTGATAAGAAAAAGACTAAGAACACACAGAAAGAAAGGTAATGGATTGGAGCTCTTAGTTTATGAAAAGGAAATAGACATGGCTTATAAACATACAGGACGTTCCATTTCACTCGTAAGTTAGTCTTTCGTTCAATAAATATTTATTAAGCTCCTCTAAGTGCCTGTAGGCAGTAGAGAATAGAGCACTGGCCAAAAGACCAAAATATGCCCCTTATAGAGCTCAGGTGTTAGTTGGTGGAGAAATGCAAGTCAAAACTAAAAGAAAGGAAGGAAAAAAAAGAAAGGAAGGAAAGAGAAAGAGAGAAAGCAAAAGAAAGAAACTACACTGTACACTTACTAGATTGCTAAGAATCCAGAAGTTTGATCACGTTGTGTTTATGAGGACGTGAAGAGACAGGCGTTGTGGTTGCCAGAGTCAGTAAACCCTGGAGGGTCAATATGGGACTGTCAAAGTTACGGCTGCTCTGACCGAGCAGTTCAACCAGCAGGAGTTAATCCCTTGGGTGAAGACACTTCGACTTGTACAAAGTGATATGTCTACAAGGTTATTTATTTCAGCATTCTTTGTCATAGCAAAAGATTGATAACAATGTCACCCAATAGGGAAACAGACTATGAATCATCTATTCAGCAGAAGGCTGGGCAGCTGTGAAATAGAGGTAGGACGCCCACCGAGTACTGACAGGGAAAGAGTTCAGTGGTGTGTTAAGTGAAGAAAGCAAAACGGTATTGAGTGATGCCATGTGCAAAATGGAGGAAGAATCCAAAAGGATATATTTGTATTGGTTTGAATGTTTCTAAAACAGTCTCTGGGAAGTAAAAATTAAATGACAACAGTGGTTGTATGTGGGAAGATGAGGGCCGAGTGGATGGGAGAAGGGGTGGGAGGGAGACTTTTACTATACATCTTCTACTTTTTCATGCGAATTGTGAATATATTGCCTATTCAGAAACCTAAATAATTTAAGTAAGTTACTCATTTAAAAAGTAGATAAAGTTTTAAACGGCCCACCAAGGGTTTGGTCTCTGAAGAATTTTGGTCTAGTCGATGTCAGTGGGAGGTCGCTCCTCGGTTCACGGTCTCCTTTCCTCTAGGCTTCTTAGCTTCGCACCTGGGTTGTACCACCTGGTGCAGACTGGAGTTTCCGTTCAGCTTATGTGCTGCTCCAAGTTTGACTTCTGGAAAGACTGCTTTCGTTTTGTCACTGACTTGTTCAAAAATTCAGACTGTCTATCCACGTCAGGCTCCATTCTCTGTTAAATAAAATTCAGCTGTGCAGCCTGGCTTTTGAGAACGTGATCTCCATCATCAGCTTTCCAGATCAGTCTTAGTCCCTGTCAACCCAGCGGAAGCCCACTGCTTCGACGTGCGGAAGGCTTTCTGTCTCATCACACCTGTACCTTCGCCTCAGTTGTGCCGAGAAAGGTGGTCAGTTGCTTTTTCAGCTCCTTCTTAAAACATCGTCTGGCTACTTCAGCCTCTTTAGCTGTTTCCTTCTTCTCAATTCCTATGTGTCTTTCTTAGTAGGACTCCGCCTTCTCATTTACTCAGCTACATGCTGCCTTATATTATTGTTTTATGTACTGTCTCATCCCCCCACCTGGATAGGATGTCTTCAAGGCAGATGCTGTCTCTCGTTGGAGGCTATGTGGTGCAAAGAATGAGATTTTGGGAGATAGTCCTGATTTCACAATTGTCCTAGTACCACTCAGTATCCAGGGGACCTTAATTATCCTCTCTGAGCCTCACAGAGTCGTTGGGAAAATTAATGAAAAAACACAAATGAACCCAGTTCAGTACCTGGCACAGACTCAGCACTTAGCACTCACTTCCCACCCACCTCCTCCCCGACATGTGCGTCTGATGAACATCCCAGGTGTGTAAGAAGCACCTCTCTCCTCTCTCCTCCAGTATGCCTTTCTGGTGACGGCTGCTGTGCAGTTTGCTGGTGGGATCATCATCTTCTTTGGACTCCTGGTGTCACCAGAAGAAATTGGTGAGGAGAAGCTCTCTCTTCTTTTCTATTCAGAGAAATCTGAGGCCAGGACAGTCAGTCTCTTTTCCTAGGAGAACTGTGAGCTCCTTTCAGTGAATTAAAGGATCAGTATTGCTGTTTGTGTCCTGGAGACACTGGCTGAGCCTGGTACAGCTGCATGCTTGAGGGCAGTGAGGCTCACCTTTTATAGATTCAGGGGAAACTCGTCATTGCAAATAAGTTTTATAATTGAGACACAGGCCAGAAATTAGCAAGGATGTATTTCCTTTTTGTTTTTTTTGAGGAAGATTAGTCCTGAGCTAACATCTGCTGCCAGTCCTTCTCTTTTTGCTGAGGGAGACTGGCCCTGAGCTAACATCTGTGCCCATCTTTCTCCACTTTATATGTGGGATGCCTACCACAGCATGGCTTTTGCCAAGCGGTGCCATGTCCGCACCCAGGATCCGAACCGGTGAACCCCGGGCTGCCAAAGCGGAACGTGCGCGCTTAACCTCTATGCCACTGGACCGGCCCCCTAGCAAGGATGTATTTCTAATTTCACTTCTTGAGAGAGATTTCTTTTCCTTCATTAAAGTAATTTAGTTTGATATTTATCGGTTGTTAAATACAGAATATGTACAAGTGAAACCACAGAAGCAAAGAGATAGACGATTTTTCTGTCTTTTGAGTATTATGACACAGACATGTCAGTTTAATAATATGTAATTAACATTTTTTTGTATATAACAGAGATAGTGTGATGAAGTTGAAGAAACATTGCTTTGAAGGCAGATAAAGTAGAATTAGAGTCCTGAGTTTGTTGCTCATTAGCTATGTGACCTTAATTGACCTTAGTTGACCTTAGTCTCTGAACCTTAGTTACTTCTTCTGTAAAATGGAAATAAAAATAATGTCAACCCCATAAGTAGTGATATATACCAGGCACTTAGCCCAGTGCTGGTTACCCAAAAGGCACTCTGTAAATGTGGCTGTCGTTGTTGTTTTAGGTCTCCCAGCTATTGAGGCAAAAGAAAATTTGGAAGAAGATTCCCACAGGCCATTAATTAATGGTGCTGAAAATGAAGATGAATATGAGCCTAATTATTCAATTCAAGAAGGAAGTCCTATTACTCAAGTCAAGGCAATAAGCTTTTATCAGGCTTGTTGCCTTCCTGGAGTTATACCGGTGAGGACCCCTTACCACAGCCAGTGAGATGTTGCAGCCTGGGTGTGAGCTCTTCCTGGGATAAAGCATCTTTAAGTATTTAGCTTCTCCATGGTACTTTATTTTAGGAATATCTGTTCAGAGGGATATTGTATAGTTCCTCTCAGCTTGTTTCTATATTGACACCACTTGAAATTTTATCTGATATCTAAATCAGGGGTCAGCAAAGGGGCTCTTTCCTGTGAGGAGCCAGATAGTAAATGTTTTCAGCTTTGTGGGGCCCGTGCAGTCTCTGCCACAGCTACTCAACTCTCTAGAGAAAGAAACAGTATGGACAGACGTGGAACAAATGGGCATAGCCAGGTTTGGCGCATGACCCTAGTTTGCTGCCCCTGATCCAGCATGTGAGTAAGAAGGCAAGATTGATATTTTTATGTAGGTATTTTGGCCTATTGAAGTATTATAGAATTTGTATGGACTAAGTAGGGTTTTGAATGGTTCATTAAGTCTGTCTTATTTGCCAGACAGAAAAAAAATAGTCTGCCCTTTTGTTAAAAGACCCAGAGCAGAATACTGCACAGTGTTTCTTGGTAATGCATTCCAGTGTTTCCACAACCTTCACCGTCAGGAGAGCTCTCTAACATCTAAACTAAATCCCTTCTGCCGCCGTTTTTCTGTCTTGGTGTTTTGGGCACGCTAGCAGGGGAGTGGAAGTTAAGAGGCCTAGGTTGTGTTTCCAGCTTACCCACTACCTCTCTGTGAGGCCTGGGGTCAGTCACTCAGCCGTCCTTGTGTCTCAGTTCCTCTTCCTGTGGAGTAGAAAGTGTACGGTCTTTCACCTTGGGTTATTGTATGTGCATAAGCACCTGTTTTTGTTTATTTCATTGTTTAATGGTGCTTTATGAATGTAACCCCCCAGCTAGATTGAAACTTTGTGCTAATATTTATCAGTTCCCTTCTACCTATGCCCCCCAAATTAAGAGAACTGATATTTGCAAACAGATAGTTAAGTACGAGTTAAACTCTGAGTGTGAGTTCCCACAATTCTTTAACCAAAAGATGATGTATACCACAAGGGAAATGCAAGTTCCTTTCGACCTGTTCTTAGGCTAATGACTCATATTTTTTAACTAGTTATTAAAATAGTCTGTTGCTAATAGTTTAATTTCTGAGACAGTACTTAAATTTGTTGTGACCATGGGACTCTTTTTTTCTGTTCGTTTGTGTTTCCCAAGCTGTTCCCTGATGTGGGCAGGGATGTAATGGAAATCTAGTTAACTTAATTCCTTTGTCCTGTAGCCGGCTGTCTGGACAAAACGCACTCGTGATGGGGACCTGGCTCTCTAGGGGTTGGCTGTTGCCCTGCCAGGAACGCTGTTTTAAAACAAGTGATACCTAGGGGATAGGCTCCAGGGGAGAATATACCAGCCAGACCCCCTTTGAAGTCAGTCTCTCTGTTCCTCCCCCCTCTTCCTTTGATGCTAAATGTCAGGATTTCCTGGTAATAACGTGTTGGATATAGGAGTCTTAGCCCCACTGCCATCTTAAGGCAGCTGCAACTTTTATTCCTCAAAGTGGAGCCTCAAGGCCCATGGCAATCGTGTTCTTTCATTTTTGACTCACCAGAGTTACTCTTTGCTTTTCCACTGGATGTGGGAATATAAAGCTTTTGGAAACTATAGTGTGAAAGTAGTTTTAATGTTGGTGCTAAACTACAGTTTAGTCACATTGCTCTCTGTGGTTCATTATGGTAACTTTGCAGGAAGTAGAACCAAAGAAGCTTGGCTCCTTGCGATAAAAGCTGTAACAGTCACTGGATTTATTTACTTCTGTTTAATGCTAGTTAGTGGCATGAATACTTTATATCTTTGTCTAAATAAATATGAGCATGTGCCCTGCCTTATAGGTTCAAAACACTGGTTTGCTTCTACCAGAGAACTGAAAGGAGAGGAAACTGGGGACACTTGACAAATAGTCATATGTGTTTTTCATTCCAAAAGCCTGCTGTGCATGCCTTTCTAGAAGCTAATGGGGATAAAGAGAAGAGGGAGACTAGGTAAAGTCAGGCGAATGGGAATTTGTAGAAATGTGTAATTTTACAATCAGGTACTGTTCATCCCAAACTCCTCTCTTTTGTTTCACTTTTAATTACGTCGAAAACTGTGGCCCTGCTGTGCTATTTGCTCCTTACTGAGAGCTGAATGCTTTTCTTGTAGTATTCACTGGCCTATGCCTGCTTGAAGTTGGTGAATTACTCCTTCTTCTTCTGGTTGCCCTTTTATCTGAGTAACAACTTTGGATGGAAGGAAGCTGAAGCTGACAAGCTGTCCATTTGGTACGATGTTGGAGGAATTATAGGTAATACTGGTGATGCATCTTTTTCTATAATAAAGAGCTGGTCACTAGTACTCTTTTACTGGGTTATGAAATCTGGCAGCATTTAAAGTTTTATTATTATTCCACAGCCATTTTTCCTAAACTGTCCTACCAGTAAACAGCCAAACTTTTTTTTTTTTCCCGAAGATTTTATTTTTCCTTTTTCTCCCCAAAGTCCTCTGGTACATAGTTACCTAAGCATGGCCTGATGAGCGGTGCCATCTCTGCACCCAGGATCTGAACCGGCAAAACACTGGGCCTGGAAGCACAGTGCACAAACTTAACCACTTGGCCAGGGGCCGGCCCCACAGCCAAACTCTTAAAAAAAAAAAAAGTCCATAGAAAGGAAGACCTAGCCTGCGGCAGTCCTGTGATTTATAGGGCTCTTTATTCTCGGCTCTTTGTTGATGGATCAGTTCTTTTGTCTTGGGAAGCACAGGGATGTTTCCCTCTGTGATCTTTTTAAATGTAACCTTTTCTGTATGTCTCAGCCCTGACACGAATTGTAAGTCAAAGATCCAAGTTACAATGTGACTGTGTTCCTGTTATATGCATCCTGCCTTTCCCACCACCCCTGACTGAAGAAGGGAAAAGATTAGCTTAGTGTGTAGGTCGTCAGATCAGAGAGATAGGAATGATAGGGATGAATTTTTGTTTTTTGCAATTGCTTCATTGACCACAGCAGATTTTAATAGTGACTTTTTGCTATAGCTGGAACTATAAACAAGGAAGTAAGGTATAAACAAGGAAGTAAGAAACTTTTACATAAGACAGACAGAATGCATTTTAGTGACTGTTACTTATATGGCTATAAAAAAACCTTAATATCCTTTCTGTAATGTTACCTGGAGAATTGTGGTAACACTAAACTGCCTGAGTACATGAAAGCATGTCATGTGTCCTTAGGTGATATATTGTCACTGTATTTGAACTTGTCTGCCCCGCCCTTACTCTTGGATTTGGAGCCGAAGGTGAGGTTGCCACCTTTAGACCAGACCATACGTCTATATTCTGCTGTCTGAGGGGGATGAACCAGATGACCCACAGCCCCTAGAACTCAAAATGGGACTGTGTCTAAATGGGACTGTGTTGCTCAAAGAATTCACATCACCTTTTTTAAACTTCCGGACCTGTTAGTTACTGTCAAACCGTAATTGCTGCATTTAATTTTAGTGAATATTTATTGGTCGCTGCTAATAGTCTGTGAGGCACTGTCCTTAATGAATCATCTTTTAAAATAAAAAGCAGAAAAGTCATAAAAGCCTTCACGGCTGGTTTGAGAAGGGAGAACAGCAATGGACAAGTGGATGGTTTAGACTATTTTTCCTTTTTCCCTATTTTGGTGTCTAATTGGTGGTGTCCTGTCTCAATCAGCCATCATGGCGATTAGCGGTCAGGTAATCCTCCTCAGAGGAAAATATGGAGGACACTTTTTAGGAGTCAGCCGTCTTTTGGGATGGAGCGTGTTGGGATCCTGATAGCGGCTGAGGGGTGTGGTGAGCAGGTTGCAGGTAACTGAGGTAAAATGTAAACAATTTTGATTGTGATGGGCTCTTTGTGTTTGAAGGTGGAACTTTGCAAGGCTTCATCTCTGATGTGTTACAGAAGAGAGCGCCAGTTTTAGCTCTGAGTCTGCTTCTAGCGGTTGGGTCCCTCGTTGGATATAGTCGTGAGTATTTCTCCCCTTGTGATTAAATTGTGTCTGTGATCTCTTAGGACTAATGCATTTGCCTTCAGTCAGTGATCAGCCCTGGGGAGATCCTTAGACCAGCTACAAAGGCATGATATGGGACCTTCGTATTGTCCTGTAAATGTCCGGTAAAAGTATCATCACATAGTTTTATTTGTGTAGGGGAGGAAACTGGCATCCCTTCTGCTTTGTTGGTTTGTTTAAAAGCTTGCTTGGGAGTGTGTATGCTTTGTTTGAGGGTAGGCTCCAGAGGGACAGCATTAGACCCAATAAAACAATAAAAGGGAAAAGGTTTCAAAAGAAGAAAGATGGTAATTAGTAGGTTCGGTATATGTCCCTTAAGAAGCTGTTGAGATGGAAGTAGAGTTTTTTCTGTGGCTTTTAGAAGTCTCATTAGCTTGGGTACAAGCAAGAGGCAGACATTACAAATAAAAGTTGGAAGAGGCGATGAAAGAGTTGTGTCCCTTTGTTGTCTCTGGGCGATCTGCGAGGTTGCCGAGATCCAGATCTTTGTGTGCTGTTCAATGAGGGCACACGAAATGCGCTTTTAAAGTCAGCGTGCTCTTTCTATCTTTCCTCCCAGGTTCTCCAAACAATAAGTCCATTAATGCACTTCTGATGGCTGTGACAGGTACGGCATATGGCTCCATTTCACGGTACTATTCCTTTAGAAATAAAAAGGAAACTGATGTCTCCTTCAGTCTGAGTAATACTAAGACCTTAATTATAGAGAACTCAAGTGGTAAAAGGAAAGATGCCTCCTCTGGTTTCTGTTTCTCTGCTGTTCTGTGACCTCCGCAGTCCTGCTCTTACAGATGCAGTCCCTTCTGACAGAGATATCCTGAAATTTTTGATTGCTGCCCCAGCTTTGCATATTACTTCTGGAAGTGGCCTAGGAAGACACCACGTTGGAAACCAATTCACCAGCTTTCACAAAGTCCACTTAGCTATTTTTTCCTCCTACGCTGGAATTGGCCCGTATTTCTTCACTTGTGCCCCAGATGAAACAATGGAGTTCCAGAGAGACAATATCATAGAAAAATGCCTTATTTTTAAGCTTTAGATCATTTTTAGAATATTGAGAGCTGCCCATGCTACATGAGGCACGTGGAACTGATTCCAACCCTGTGGACAGATGCCCATGGGCCACCTTCTGCTCAGGCCTCAGACAGCCCCACCGAGAGCTGTGGCAGATAGAACCGCCTGCACCATTGAAATAGCATTTCTCTTCTCTCTTTTTTTTCAATATGTTTGGTTGAATTTGGGTAGTTAAATGCTCTGTGATGCACCTCTACCATAATAGAATTTGACAAGCTGGTACAATTAGTTCTCAAGGAATGTACCCTTCACAGGATTAGAAAGGCTGTGTGTTCACTGTGTTTTCTGTATCTTTGGTTTCTATAAAATATACTAGAGTGTCACATAATTCAGGAAGGGATTTCAGAAGAGTAGATGCTAACTGGTTTGAAGATGATACTATCTGGGAGCGTTTCCGTTTTTACTGGTTATTTTTCCCTTTTTCTGTTTCTCTCCAACATAATTAAAATACTGGGATAAGACATTGCCTTGTTCAATAGATTCCTAGTGGTGTTAGGAATAGTGTTTTAATAAGAGTCTATTCCGTTTATGACTTCAGGATTTTTTATTGGTGGACCCTCTAATATGATTAGCTCTGCTATTTCTGCGGACCTGGGTCGCCAGGAGCTGATCCAAGGGAGCAGTGAGGCTTTGGCGACCGTCACGGGAATTGTTGATGGAACTGGGAGCATCGGAGCTGCCGTGGGCCAGGTGAGAGGGGTTGACAGTGTGTGGTAAGCAGTCCTTCAACAGTGGAAGAATTTCCACCTGCCCGCTGGGCCACAGTAGGTGGCACTCTTGTGCTGTAGTATACTGTACACTGAAAGCCTTCAGTTTCTAGTCTCCTCTGAGGTCCAGCTGATATGACTTAATATGAAGGTCCCTTTACATTTCTGGTTCCTTCTTTCCACTTTTACTTCCAGTTTCTTCCTGTCTGGAAATAAGCTGAAAACACCTCATAAGACAGATCCTTCAGTCCTATCCTGCCTCGCCCTTCTTCCCAGCCCACACTTGGCCCTCCAAGGAGGCCATGAGACCCATCCTTCTCCTTATTCCCCCCCGACATGCAAACCCTACCTCCTCTCTCCCTGCCAAACACTCACACACATACACACGTTCTTTACCTGCATCCCCACTAGGAATTGCCATGGACTCCGTAGCTGCTTGGGGTTGCTTCCTCTGCGTCCTACAACTGTGTCTCAAAGGGCAGTTCATAAACGTGGTGTAGCAGAATCATCTGGGGTGTTCATTAAAATGCAGAATGCTACGCTTACAACAGACTTGCTGAGTTAGAGCCTGGGGATCTGTATTTCAACAAGCCGTCCTGGTGATTCTAATGCACTCTAAAGTTTGACGTCTTCTCGGCTAAGATTGACCTACTGTAGATAGTCAGAACTATTCAAATTGACTTTTTTTGCTTAAATTCATTCTTGTCTCAGAAAGATATATCTTCTCTAGGTGGTCATGAGTCACGCCTCTCCTAGTGTATACCACTTCCTAGGTCATTGAGTGTTCCAGGTCACTGAGTGCTAATTTTGCAGAAATGTGGATTTGAGAATCATCTGCATGGATAAAATAGCTGAAACTATGGAAGTGATGAGATGTTTAATGGGGGAAGAGAATATAGGCAAAACCTCAAGGGATGCCCACTGGGCAAAGAAACAGGAAGCCAGAATTTGAGGAGGTGTCAGTCAGTAAGATCATAGATGTAGGGAGGTCAGGAGAAGGAGAATGGAAGAAAAAAGGCCTGTAGTTTTGACTTTTAGGTCATTAATGGCCTTGAAGATCGCTGTTTTGCCTTCTTGAAGGGGGTGGATCACTGATGTCTGATTGCTAGTGGTTAATCAGAGAGCAGGTGTGGAGGAAAAGAAACCATCTCAGTACTTACCACTATGCAGCCGTATGTGCTTATTTGTTAATGTCTGTCTCCACTCTAATGTAAGCCTCGTGAGGGCGGTATTTTGTGTGTTTGTGTTCTGCTGTGGTCCCAGTACCGAGAGTGGCGTCTGGCACACAGTAGGCCTTCAGATATTTGTTGGGTGGTTGTAGAATGAATGATTGCTATGATTGATACGCTTAGGATATTTGATTACGAGACCAAAGGGAAAAAAACTTAGCAAAGGTAGGAGAAATTTGCTTACTTGATCTTGCTCTAGAGTAGAAACCAAAAGATGCTATTGGCCCACCAGTTCAGATATCTCTGTGTAAGGTGTAGGGGTGACTGTAATTCTGAGATTACTGTTTTTTCAGTTATTCTTCCTTGCTAATGTTTTCTTCATTAATCAAATGAGTGGATTCTAATTAGCATTTCAAGGATTTTACTTTTATTCAGGATGTGTCACTTGCCACTGTTCGGATCCCTAACCGTGAACTTGGGTTAGCGTTAGACTGGCTTTCATGGTTTGGGAAGGAGGATGAGGAGTAATTCGTTGTTAGCTTTACTCATTCCCCTTCTATCTTGATTTTTGAATGATTTCTCATTGCTTGAGCTGTGAAACCCCAAATTCCACGACTTAACATTAAAAACCCTATCAATCTTGTCCTCAGCCTAACTCACCCTGAATAATTTTGTTCCCTTCACCTTTCCTTGACTTCCCAAGAAAAAAAATTGTTTTTTCCTCTTGGTTTCCATAGCAGTTGGTGCATACCTCTAATAGAACACTTGCCACAGTGTATCACATGTACTGACTGTTGATCTGGCCACTGTGCCAGACCCTGCGTTCCTTGAGAACAGGAACTCTCGCTTTCCTTCATCTTTGTGTTCCCCGTGTTTAATATGCTTTTGACATGTAGCAGGGGCTCAGTAAGATTAAACTGCAGTATCTACTCAAGAGCATTGAGAACAAATGTCCACATAAACACCTGTGCACAAGTGTTCATCACTGGATTATTCATAACAGCTAAAAAAGTAGAAACAATCCAAATGTCCATCCACTGATGAATGGGTAAATAAAATGTGGTATATTCATATAATGGAGTATTATTTGGCAATTGAGGAAGGATTGATAGATGCTACAGAGTAGGTGAACCTCAAAAATGTTATGCTAAGTGAAAAAAGCCAGTCACAAAAGACCACATATTGTATATGATTTCATTCATATGAGATATCCAGAATAGGCAAATCTGTAGGGAAAGGAATTAGATTAGTCGTTGCCTAGGATTGGGTGAGTTGGAATTACCACTGGGTACAATATTTCTTTCGGGGGTGATGAAATGGTCTAGAATTAGATTATGGGGATAGCACAACTCTGTGAGTATACTAAAAACCATTGAATTGTGCACTTCAAATGTGTACAACATATAATTTCTGTTATGTAAATTATGTATCAATGAAACTGTTTAAAAGAAAGCAGAGGAGCAGTCAGAGGGCCCCCCGAGGAGAGTGTGGAGGGCCCCTGTGCTCCCTTTAGTGAGTGACTGGACCTTTGCTTTTGTGCTTTGCATGATGTGGTCTAGGCTAAATAAGTCAACTGTTCTGCTTTAATTTCTGCCACTTATAAATTTCACTAGTAACGTGATCAAAGAGCATAGGTTAAACTCTCAGATCTGTGGTCAGTTGATTTTTGACAAAGGTGCTGAGATCATTCAATGGGGAAAGAACAGTTTCTTCACCAAATGGTGCTGGGAAAACTGGATGTGCACATGTAAAAGAATGAATTTGGACCCTTTCCTTACACTGTATGTAAAAATTAACTCAAAATGGATCAAATGCCTAACATTAAAGAGCTAAAACTGTAAAACTCTTAGAGGGGCTGGCTCCGTGGCCGAGTGGTTGAGTCTGGGCACTCTGCTTTGGCAGCCCAGGGTTTCGCCGGTTCAGATCCTGGGCGTGGACATGGCACCGCTCATCAGGCCATGCTGAGGCAGCGTCCCACATAGCAGAACCAGAAGGACCTACAACTAGAATATGTAACTATGTACTGGGGGGCTTTGGGGAGAAGAGGAAGGAAAAAAAACAGGATTGGCAACACATGTTAGCTCAGGTGCCAATCTTAAAAAAAAAAAAATTCTTAGAAGAAAACATGGGGACAAATTATCATGACAAATACATGCAGTTGGCCAATAAGCATATAAAAAGATGCTCAACATCCTTAGTCTTTAGGGAAATGCAAATCAAAACCACAGTGAGATACCACTTCATACCTATTAGGATAGCTATAGTAAAAACCAAACAAACAGAAAATAACAAGTATTGGTGAGGATGGGGAGAAATTGGAATTCTCATACACTGCTGGTGGGAATGTAAAATGGTGCAGCTGTGTTGTGGCAAACACAATGGTGATCTCTCAAAAAGTTAAATCTAGAATTATCCTGTGGCCCAGCAATTCCATTCCTAGTGTAGACCCCAAAGAATTGAAAACAGGGACTCAGGTATGCACCAATTATTCATAATAGCCAAAATGTGGAGACAGCTCATGTCCATCAATAAATGAATTAATAAACAAAATATCTGTCTATACAATGGAATGTTATTCGGCCATATAATGGAATGAATTTCTGATGCGTAGTACAACATAGATGAACCTTAAAAACGTTATGCTAAACGAAATAAGACGGACAGAATAGGACAAATATTGTGCGATTCCACTTAACATGAAATATCTAGAATAGGCAGATTTATAGAGACAGAAAGCAGGAAGGTTACTGGGGGCTGGGGAGTGGGGGCGATGGGGAGTTCTTGCTCAGTAGGTGCACGGTTTCTGTTTGGGGCGATGAAAAATTTTGGAAATAGACAGTGGTGATGGTTGTGCAACATTGTGAATATGTTTGATGCCACTGAGTTTTACACTGAAAAATGGTTAGAATGGCAAATTTTATGTTATATATATTTTACTGTAATAAAAAAAGAAAATGGGTTAATTGCTATTAGATCCTTTTTAGTAACTGAAAGTAAAGTAGAAGAATATGCTGTAGAACGTTAAAGTCTGAAAGTCATCCTATGAGCAGATAGCATAATTGAAAAATGAGGAGTATACCTAAAAGACAAACTGTTTTTGAAAACATCAATTATAGTACCTTTCGTTGTAAGAAAGAATGATTAAATGGAAGTGACTTGATGTTCATCTTCCTTTCTTAATAGCAAAGTGAATAAAAATCAACCTTCTCAACTCGTGTCTTCTGCTATGCAGTTCCTGCACTTGGCCTCTGCCAGCTTACAGAACGAAGGCCATTAATGAAGCTTGAACAGGGACGTGTATGTGAAAGAGCTTCGTAAACTGCAAAACATCACAAAAACCCTAACTCCCTTCTCTTTTTGAGAAGAGCCATGTTTAATCCACTTTTTAGCTACTTCGTTGTATTAATTTGTAAAGGATTATATTGTAATTTCTTTTTTCCCCTTCTAGTATTTGGTGTCTTTGATCCAGGATAACCTAGGATGGATGTGGGTTTTCTACTTTTTCATTCTCATGGTAAGTGTTGCCTTTTTTTTTTAAACTAGTAGTTTTTCTTATTAATTTAGTTCGGAGCATTTACTTAATCACTTCTTAAACCAGCAAAATTGCTGATTGCTTTTAAAGACCCTTTTGTGAAAAGTAACATTTTATTAGTCTAAAGCACACATTCTTTTTTCAAGGAGGGAAAGGGCCCTTGGTTTGCCCTTGACCTGAGTCTAATGAGTATTGTCATTTATAATTCCAGAGAAAAATGACGAGAGACTTATTTAAAGTATCACCGACCATTAATCAGTGTACTCGTCCGGGATACTCTCTGTCTGCTAAATATAATTGGCGAATTCTGAAGGAAATTACAGTGTATGCCAAGCCACACAGGGTTAAAAAAGAAGCATTGCTATAATTAACACTGTGGTGTGCAGGTTCTAAAGTGTACCTTGAGTCTCGTGAGAAAATACCTATTGTGCCTTAGACATACTTGGCTGGAATTTTGTACTTTCTGGGAAGTAGCCAATACAGAAGAAGGCCTCGTGCTTTTAAAACGTTGCTCTGTTGAATAAGCCTGTGACATACTCTGCCACATTATTGGTGAGACGGTGCTCAAGACAGGTCTACTTGAGAGAGTCTGGTGACGGCTTCATCCACCAGGGGATGCGTTCTGTATCCTGTCCCTAAATCTAGGGCATCCTAATTGGAGGCAGCCTCATGGTCCCAAGTCCAGACACTGTCCTCCACCTTGTCCGAGGAGCCCTGGGGATAGTTCAGCACCTGAAATTCCCTGAGCTGCCTCAAGGCCGTGTACTCTGCCAGCACGAAGGACAGCTTTCTCCTGCCTCACCACCTTCCAGCTTCTGAAAACTGGGCCATGTAACTCTGTGTTCCAGTTCTGACATCCGTGCTAAGTAGAGGGAAATATCTCCTGGTGAACCTACTGGTATGATCATACTAGAAATTGCAATAGAAAGAAAACTGGATTTATTAGAACAGTTTTTAATCTGAACTCCAGTATCAATTTTCTGCACTACCTATAGCAAATTATTTAATTCATGTACCTTAATTCTTTTTTTGGAGACTGTAATGTAGCATTAAGTATTTTGTGGTATTAACTGTAATTTTCAAAATGGTTTTCTAATTCCTTAAAGATTAAGAGTTATCTTTGTATGAAGTCAAAATGAACATAATTGTCCAAATTAATTATTGTGTTCAAAACATAATTCTCCAATAGAATTAATTAAATTGTTATTGCATATTTAATGTTTTTTTCTCTTCACAGACAAGTTGTACAATTCTATTTATTTCACCATTAATAGTGAGGGAAATAAGCTCTCTTACACAAAGACGACAAGCTCGCATATTGAGTGAGTGACCGGTGCCCACAAAAGAACAAGAATAATAGGAGACACATCGGGACTATTGTTTCTTTTAATTCACCCTGTTTTGGGGTTGTCTTAAGAACTCCACCATAACCTCAGATTGTTAAGCCTCTTTCAACAGTGTCAGCCGCCTGAGACGCTGACGGGGTGAAGGCTGGGCTGTTTTTCTATACTACAGGAATTATTGTCGATGATTTTTACTGTTGTTGTTTCATGAATGTACTGAATGGCCTCTGAATCTGCCAGCGTCTTTGTTTGGCCTGCGGAGGTTCCTCCCTTAACTTTAAAGACTGTATTGACCTTGGACCCTTGTCCTCCCGCCTGGAAAGCTGCGTGACCACAGGCAGTTGTGCGTGGTTTGTGTCGGTGACGTGCTTCATGAATAGGAGGATCATTGCATTTTGCCTTGGTCATGAGTTTGCAGAGTGGCTCATCTTTGAAGCATCGGATCCTGATGAAGTGCTCAGGCTGGATCAAGCATACGCCTGCCGTGGACAAAGAATCCCTTTGTTGACTGTGGTGGGAAAAACCACACTACATGCTGATTGTCTCGGTCAGTCTGTATCTGATCTAAAGTCCCTCAGCTCCAGAAGCAGAAGTGTCTTCAAATTATTGTCAACTTGTTCTCCTCCATCTTCATTCAGAATTAGCTTTGACTCCCAGGAGTATTTAGTCTTCCTTTCAAGGACCATGTGGTACATTAGTTGTCGTGAACATTCCAGTGTGTAACTCACAACCAAAGTTGTGTACCCAACCCCAGGTTGGCTGTCTGGGAATTTTAGAATCCACTAGGAAGGTAATCTCCTTAGCCCTATTTTCAGAGAATTGATCTCTGTCACAACCGGGTTCCTTGAGTTACCTCAGCAGAAGACTAGAATTAGGGAAAAGAGAAAGACCTTTTGTCCTAGTGAGCGTTAAGTGTGTGACATTGAATCACATTAATGGATTACTAGGACCTGAGGAGTATCTAGGTGTCTATTCTTTAGAAGTTTGTAGAGTGTATGTCTTCAAGGCTGTGAATTCTATACCAATTATCAATATTTTAAGGTCATTCTGTATATATATTTTAAATTATGTAAGGGAACCAGGGGGAAAATGTGCAATTTTGAGGGCTGCCTAATTTGCATTGGGTTAGGGAATATTTTTCAACCTCTTGCTTTATACTCTGAAATGTGGTATGTTTATGAACTGGTTAATGTTATTTAATCAAGCAGATTTCCAGTCATTTGATTGCTCATTACTGACAAAAAGGGAAATATGAAACACAGGGATGGAAAATAAACTGACTTTTATAGTAAGTATCTGTCCATCTGGTTATTTAAGTATATACCCTGACTTCCGCATTTTCGAATACCATTCATGCCTTATGTTTTCCTTCTACTGAGTGTCCCTAGTGACCAATCGCTGACCATACAGTGGTGGCACATTGTACAGCATCTCCCCCTCTAGGTGATGGTGGCCCCATTTCTGTTATGTTCTGTGAAGCCCTTCCCTTGCCTTTGTGTAAGATTGTGCTCAGTTTGGATGCATTGCCTGGTTGTAATTTAAGAATTGTCTGTAGATGAACCCCATTTTTATTATTTAACCTCTTTCTGACATTTGGCTGAGAGAGTTTCCTCTCCCCCAACACAATCAGTGTGCTTGCACCTTTGTGTCCAGACACTAACCCTTGTTCGCTTACCTAGTTTAAACTTAGCTGGGTGTGTGTTCCCCTGACCTCTCTGTAACCCCCAAGCCGTACCTGAAATGAGATTATAAATAAGTGCTCAGCGCTGAATGAAATTATATATTGCACTGTGGGTATATTCCTTATTGTTCTAGTTCTGGCAATCTACATAGGAATTAGCTTTAAAGAACTCCTGAGAGTTATGCACCTTGTTAATTTTTTTCCTTTGAGGGAAAGGCCATAGTGAAGATAACTTGGAAATGCACTCTTCTCTGCAGCTTGATCTCTGATGCTCGCTAGGTTGAAATAAAGTGCTCTGCCTCTTCTTGTCATATGGTGTTTTCTTTTCTCCTTCCGTATAGTTTGAAAGGAAGAGAGGCCCCTCCCCTCTCCTCCTTGCCTATTCCTGCTTCCTGGAGGATGGAGTCCCACAGTCAACATTCGCGAGGAAATGTCCGAGGGCCCGTGTGCACGTCGTGATGTTCGGTGGGCTGGAGGATGTGGGGTGCTCTCGTTCATTTACTCCTTCCCTTCTTTAAAGCCTCCAGAAGTCTTGCCTCCCAAATAAGTAACTGATGAAGCCTTTTCTTGTCTCCACTAGGTCTTCTGACTCATGTCCTATTCTCCGTTTCACAACCAAACTCTTTGAGTTATCAGATGGTATCTGCTGCCTTCCTGGCTGTCCTACTAACTTCTTCCTTACCCAGGTAACTAACTGTATATCTCTTTGCCCAGGACAGTCCTGGTTTATGGCTGTTGTTCTGACATAATTCTCAATAGCAACCCCTCTGCTCTCCAAGTGTCCCTGTTTGGACATCTTTAACCTCTGACCTCTTATTTCATCACCCGACAGAAACTGGGCATCTGAAGGTCGTTGAATTTGGAGAGCTTTTTTTCTCATTCCTTGTCTTTCTTTCTTTCTTTCCTTTTTTTTTTTAAAGATTGGCACCTGGGCTGACAACTGTTGCCAATCTTTTTTTTTTTTTTTTTCTGCTTTATCTCCCCAAACCCCCCTGTACACAGTTGTATATCTTAGTTGCAGGTCCTCTAGTTGTGGGATATGGGACGCCGCCTCAGCGTGGCCTGATGAGTGGTGCCATGGCCGCGCCCAGGATCCGAACCCTGGGCCGCCACAGCGGAGCGTGCGAACTTAACCACTCGGCCACGGAGCCGGCCCCTCCTTGTCTTTCTTAATCCTGTGGTACTTGACACTGGTAACCACTTCATCTTCCCTGGGACTTTTCTTTGGCTTCTATGGCATTTTAATTTATTGAATCTTCTCACTTCCTACCCCTTTACTGTTTCTCTGCACTGCTCTCCCTCTGCTAGTTTCCTTCCTAAAAGAAGTGTCACCAGCTTTCTCTGATGAGCTGTTTTTGTAATCTACCAATAGCACTGTTAAATACTTAGTGAATATGAAACACTAAGGAGAGGTATGGCATCTGTTGGTTAAATACTGTCTGGTGTTGGGGCCACCCTGTGGCCGAGTGCTTAAGTCCGCGCGCTCCGCTTCGGTGGCCCAGGGTTTCGCTGGTTCGGATCCTGGGCGTGGACCTAGCACCACTCATCAAGCCATGTTGAGGTGGCATCCCACATAGCACAACTGGAGAGACCCAAAACTAAAATAGACAACTATGTGCTATGGTGCTTTGGGGAGAGGAGGAAAGAAAAAAAAATGCTATCTGGTGTAGAGTTAAGAGCAAGTCTCGAGGGAGGGACATGGGCTCAACATAGAACCTCAATCCCCTGTCACGTCACCACGCAGACCACTCTGCCAATTGCCTACCTGAGTGGTTTTTAAATTTTCTAAGTCATAAGCCCTTTGGAGAATCTGAAACCCATTTACCCTCTCCCTAGATCAAAACGCACATATGAACAAACATTCAAAATTTGTTACAGGGTGTTCATGGGCCAAAACTTGAAGCCCATCTTTAGACCACAGAGTTAGAAACCTTGGTTGAGAGACTCAGTTGCCGCCTGGCATGAGGTTTTCCACAATCCAGGTTCAGTCTGTTTCTTTACTGAATCTCCCATTGCCTCTCTACACGAACCTTCTACGAAATCAGACCGGTCAACTTGTTACTTGCTATAAATGGCAGTGTGTAATCATATTTTCTTTTTTCTTTTAGGAAGTACTTGGGTTTTTTAATTAAAAAATTTCCTAACTGTGATAAAATGCACATGACGTAACATTTATCCTCTTAACCGCTTGAAGTATACACTTCAGTAGTGGTGCGTGCCTGCTGGTCTTGATGCACTTCTTGCGTGTAATGCCCTTCTTTAACTCTCAACTTTCTGAATCTTAATTTTCCTTCAAGGCTTGGCCAAGCACCCTCTAGTGCGAGAAACCCTTCCCTGCCAGCCTTGCTGCGTCTCGCCTTTGGTAGCAACCTCAATGTTATTTGTTTGTGCTTAGCTGTTTTTATGTCTGATTCTCCAAGAGATGTGGCTTGTTTTCCTCCAGTGCCTCGTTCCTTGCATGGTTGATGTTGAGTAACTGTTGATCGTGTTGGAAAAGGTGGAAGGAGAAGAGAGTGGAGAGTGGGCAGAGCGGCCTGTGGCTCTATGATTCTGCAAATGGCCTTTCCCCTTGGTCTGCATGCGACACTGCAGTAGATGGCCGGGTTATCAGGCTGTCTGGCATAGAGTGCATTCTCTCCTCCTCAGCTTCTTCCGAGACCTGTCAGCTCTTCCAGAGAGCTAAGCAACAGTGAACAGTGAGCTTTTTGCTCCAGTACAAATCCCATGTTGTTCACTTTTGGCTTTATTCCTCTTCCTTCTGCCACCGTCCCTATTCTCTTCACCCCTCTTGGCCCCTGATGTCCCACCTCCATGGAGCCTTTCCTGATCACTCGCTCCTAATGCTTTTTCCCGTCTTTAAACTTCGTTATTAGTCGACCACACAGTCTGCCCCAGGCTGATTGATTTCACTGCCTTATTTTGTTCTCTGGTTGCTTCTGGTTAAGTTGTCATTTCCTCAATTAAACTGGGAGTGTCAGAGAGTCAACTCCATGTCCAAGGACACAGCAGCCATTTAATCAAGACAGAGATATACCTTCCCATGTGGCTTCTTGTGCTTTTAGATTCAGCGTCATCTTCCTTTTGCTTTTCCTTAAATGCCCTGAGCATTTCTGGTGACCTCGTTCATTTCAGATTAAATATGAAATACCGATATTTATATATGTGAACATGGATAATACAAGTTACTTAAATGGTTGTATATATGTGTGTGTTATATGCAGTTGGGGGTAATGATGTATATGTTCTATGTAACTGTGTTACACATAGTTATACACACACACATATACTTATATCTCAAGTCTAAAACTTGAAAAAGAATTCTGTCCCTGAGCACCCAGTGGTGTGATCTTTCACCATCACTGCTGTGATACTTCATATGTGTACACAACTTTAAAAAGTGCCCGCCCATTCCCTACTCGCCTTTATCCACACCACATCTTTGGGAGGTAGGCAGGACATGGGGTTCTGTTCCTTAGATGTGAGAACTGAGTCTCAGAGAGCTCAGTGGTTAGCGCAAGGTCCCAGAAGCAGGACTAAATAAAAACCAAGGTCTTTTAATGTGACTCCAGTGTTTTTTCCATTATGCCATGCGGCTTCTTCTCATTTAACTTAATCTTCTCCCAGGCTTACTTCCAAGATATAAATTGTGCCACTGCGCTCATCTTTTCCAAGAGCCGGAGTCGGGGGGCGAGCTGGCCTGTCCCACATGGGAGGCTTTGTGTTCACACTGCCGCCAGCCCTGCACCTGCTGCTCCACTGAGCGCCCCGCGGCCGCCCGCACCTTGGCTTCTCTCCGCAGTGCCTTCTGTTCCCGGTTTGCCTTTTGAAAAACACCCGTCCTCTTTGGAGGAGGATTCTGGCGCCTGACAAACTCTTGCCTGGTAATCTCTTCCCTCCTTCGGGCCCTGGGTGGTCAGTGTGATGATTTCATGTGCCCACCTCAGCCAGGTCTGCCTCTTTCCTCCTCCCCGTGGTCCCTGCTCTTACCGTTCTTTCTAATGAATGCTTATTAACTTTGAATGAGGGTCTTTCTTCGAAAATGCTGTTAGTCAGCTTTTTACTGCCTGCTATTGTCCTCTGATTAAAGAAATGCCTTTTTCCCCTTTCAGAAATTAGATAAGAAGTAGCAGAATCATTTGGAACTATTTTAAATCTCCTTTATCACAAGGAGGTTGTCATTGTGTACCTCCGTCACCAGTGGAATACTGATAAAAGGGCCACCCTGTTTGATGGGAATGTTGTGGATTTTAATGGGATAATTGTATGTAGGTAAAACCTTTCATCTGCGGGCTTCAAAGGCCTTCACCTTGTTTGATAGTTACTATCCTGTCCTGAAGAGTGACATCAGGATACCACAGCCCTAGATTGTGTGTGCGCATGTGCATTTGCCTATTTATGTAGTGTTTTGTTTGTTTTCCTAGACCCACCATAGAAGGTTTCAGGAACCTAACAGTGTTGCAGTTGATTTCCACTAAAACATAGTAGTTAATGAAGAGCATGCCTGACTCGCCCTTTTCTCCTGGAATGAAAATGCTAAAGATGCAGATGGGCAGTGAAGCAGCAGACCCTGCCCCAAATGCCCCACAGTCGTGCATCGTCGTCTGCACTACTG